GCCAGGCCGTTTGTGCTCGGGTGGTATGGGGCGCTCACGACGTGTCTGACCCCAATGTTCCTCATGAACACCTTGAATTCCTCGGACACCAGCTGCGGCCCGTTGTCTGAAACGATTGTTTCCGGAATTCCGAACCTGCAGAAAAGTTCACGTAGGCACCTCACAGTGCGCTCGGTCGTAGTGCTCTGCATGGTGAACACCTCTGGCCACTTTGAGTGCGCGTCCACCACGACTAGGAACATGGTTCCGCGGAACGGGCCTGCAAAGTCCAGGTGTAGTCGTCTCCACGGTGCTGTCGGCCATGCCCAGGGGTGAAGAGGCGCTTTGCATGGATCATTACGCTGTTCCTGGCATGCTTGGCAGCTTCGTACCTTTCTTTCAAGGTCTGAGTCAATTGATGGCCACCAAACATAGCTGCGAGCCAGCTCCTTACTTCGCACGGTGCCGGGATGGCCTTGATGCAGTTCGTCGAGCACGGGCTCCTGCAGCTGGGACGGAGCAACAACCCCCATGCCGTACATTAGGCACCCTTGATGAACACTAATCTGCAAGCGGCTGTCAAAGAACGGTCTGAGTTGTTGTTCTTGCACGTGCGTCGGCCAACCCATGCTTGTGTATTCAAGCACTTGACAAAGTAACGGGTCGCGCGACGTAGCGCGTGCAATCTCTTTAGAGGACACCGGCATTGACTCTAGGCGCAGTGCATAGAAGGACTCTTCGCCCTCGCAACTATCGTCTTTCCCACTTTCGAGAGGGAACCTTGAGCAAAAATCGGCCTCTGCATTGTCACTGGATCTCTTGTACACCAACGAGTACTCGTACGCTGACAAGGTAACAGCCCAGCGCTGCAAACGTGCTGCCGCCATAAACGGAATGCCTGTCTTTGGGCCCAAAATAGTCTGCAGCGGTTTGTGATCCGTGACGAGAGTGAAAACTCGGCCTTAGATGTATAAGTGGAACTTTTTGATCCCAAAAATAATGGCTATATTGCCTCCTTTTCAAGTTAGCTGTACTTCTTTTCAGCTTCGGTCAGTGTGCGTGATGCATACGCCACAGGACGAGTGCTTCCATCTTCAGTCACATGAGACAGAACAGCGCCTATGCCATACTGGGATGCGTCGCACGCAACTTGCAATGGCTTACTTGGGTCGTAGTGTGCCAGAATCGATGGTGTTGCTAGCGCTGTCTTCATTTCCTCGAACGCTGCTTGACACGCTTTGTCCCAACACCAGCGCTGGTCTTGACGCAGCAGCCTGTAGAGCGGGCTCGCCAGGGTGGATAGTCGTGGAACAAGCTTTCCGTAGTAATTTATCATACCCAGAAATTACTGGAGCTGCTGCTTGCTTGAGGGTGAAGCAACCTTCAGCAGAGCCTCGATCTTCTCTGGCGTCGTGCTGACACCTGCAGCACTGATCACGTGGCACAGATAACGCAGCTCCTTCTGGAAAAACGCGCATTTTTCCTTCTTCACACGAACTCCACGCTCTGACAACCGCTTTAGGACTGCTTCCAAATTGGCCAAATGCTCTTCCGGCGTCCTACCGGTGATGAGGACGTCATCCAAGTAGCAACTGACGCCTTTCAGATCTTTCAGCATTGTGTCCTTGATTCTCTGAAAAAAGGCTGGTGCCGAGGAGACTCCGAACGGTAACCTGTTTACGGCAAACAGTCTTTTGTGTGTATTTAAAGTTAGGTACTTGCTCGACGTTTCAGCCATCACCACCTGGTGATAAGCCCGGTTTAAATCAATCTTCGAAAATTCCTGGCCTCCTGAAAGCGCTGCGAACAAGTCGTCGACTCTCGGGAGCGGATACTCGTCAGTGTCAAGGCAAGGATTCACGGTGGTCTTGTAGTCGCCGCACAACCTTATTCCACCGTCCTTCTTCACTACTGGCACAACCGGCGTCGCATAATCACTCGTTGTGACTGGTGTTATGACGCCCATGTCTTGCATCTTCTTTAGTTCAGCCTCGACAGCAGGCTGTAGGGCAAACGGCACGTTTCTTGCCTTGAGGAATTTCGGTACGTGACCTTCTTTTAGCGTCAGCTCTGCCCTTTCTTCAGCAATAGTTCCCAGGTCTTTATTGAACAGATTTTGGTACTCGTTCAGAAGCGCACTAAGCTTTGTGGGTTGTTCGGAAAGCGCCAAAAAATCTGACCTGGCATTCTGTTGATCCCGAAGATCCGGTTCCAATCCAATCGGATCGCTTGCAGCCACTGCCGGCCGAGCAGAGGTGGTCCCTTTTCTCTTGTGATGTAGAGGGGAAGCTCGGTCCTCTGCTGTCTGTACTGCACGTCGACGTGAGCAACCCCGACGGGCTGAACGATGTCTCCCTTGAACGTGCGCAGCTTGAGCGTCATCGGCATGATCTTTGTTGAAGGAGATATCTGACGAAACTGTTGCAGTGACATGACAGAAACAGTTGCTCCTGTGTCCAGTTCCATTTCCAAGGCAACTTCCTGCACGTTTATTGTTTTATTGGTTCCATACCAGACGTGGTCATTTCCTTCATGCCAAATGGGTCTTGAACAGGAACCAGTTTCTTCATCGCCTTACGTGGCGTCCACTTCGATTTCTTTTCTTTGTCAGCATGACACACTCTTTGGACATGCCCCTTCTTGTTACACTTGAAACAGATATCCGCAATGTGCGGGCATACCCGGCTTCCATGTTTCGCTGAGCCGCAGCGGTAGCAGTCTCGCTGCGTCACGTTCGCCTCCGCGACGGCCTTCACCTTGTTTACGTCCGAAACTCTAGGTTCTGACGCATGTGTTTCAGCGACGTTATTTTTTTCTGCTTTCATGGCTAGCGCTTTTTCGACGGCTCTCTGGAAAGTTAGCTTGTTGTCCTTTGTGAACAACACACGCTGAATGTCCTCTCTGCGTAAACCGCAGACGAAACGGTCCCTCAAGGACTGGTCAAGTGCGGCTTCGAAGTCGCAGGTTTGCGCCAATTTGCGAAATTCTGCAACGAAGGCTGCTACAGATTCGTTCTCGAGCTGCATTCTTCTGTGAAACTTTGCGCGCTCGCTGATTACCGATGGCTTCGGTGCCAGGTGATCCCCCAAAAGCTTCTTTAGCTCATCAAACGTTTTTCTTGCTGGCAACTCCGGTGCGGTCAACGACTTCAAAAGACTCTACGTTTTCGGGCCTATGAGACTCAAAAATGCGTGTACCTTGTCGTCCTTGGCGATCCGGTTGACCAGAAGAAACGACGTGAGTCGTTCCTCATACGACGGCCAGTCGCTCGTCGATTCGTCGAAGGGCTCGATGTGTCCCAATCGGCAGAAGACTTGCGGCACTTGACCCGTCGCTGCCGGATCTCCCGTTGCCATGTAGGCTTCCGCATAGCAGTTCAGCGAAGCCTCCTCGTCGCCAAGTTGTCGTGTCTTGACGGGGCAACAGACACAGTAGACCGGAGGACCATGGCCCGTCAATTCCAGCGCTGAAATGCGCTGGAATTGACGTAACGTTAGGCACATCGTTGCACTTTGAGGTCTAACTTTATCGACCGGTACGCGCAGCTGTTTGACGTGAGGGGGCACTCGAGTATGCGCTAGCCTTACATTAGGCCTAACGTTATGCCTCACGTTAGGCCTAACTTTAGGCCTAATGTTACGCTTTGAGGTCTAACGTCGTTAACAGGTATCCGCATGCAGCTAGGGCGATAATGATGATCAGAGGATGCGTGATATCAGAACGCGCCGCGCCGAGCTTCGCACTCCCGTCGAAGCCTCACCCAGCGGCTCAACAGTCACGGGTGAGCCAGGGCGGTCTGCGCGCGCACCGCCGCACTTCCTGGCGGCGTTCCGGCCGCTTCTGCTCGTCTCGGCGCCGAGAAACATGGCGGCGCCTTAGCATCTATATCGTCGGCGGCAGCATGCTCGGCAGTGGTGAAACGTGGACGTCCATCGTTGTCAAAACTCCGAATACACAACGGGCGGAACGAGCAGCCGCGCAACACGCTAGGAGACAGAACGAAGTCATTCGAAAGCGTGACGCGAAAGCGGATCGCGAATAAAATCATTTCAAGTGGTACGAAGCATCTATATCGACGGCGGCCGCAACCTCGGCAGTAGCGAAACATGGCTCTCCACGCCAGTAAACCGCAGACGAGCTAAAGGAGCGTACATTAGTCCTTTCGCATTCTTAACAAATAAAATGCTTAGGTGTCCTCGGATTTTTTTTTTTTTTTTTTGCGATTACCGCTTTATAGAAAGAAAAACTATGGCAAGTTTATTCAGTTCTTAACAATAGGAAGTAATCTAAGTAGAATTTAGCGAAAGCAGAAAAATCGTTTTATGACCCCTTTAAAAGATGTTACCACGGTTCGAAGTGAAACTTTACTGGTCGGGAAACTTCGGCGGTTTCCGTATTTAGCTATTGAAAGTGTTCCTAGTTCGTTTCCTAGTTCGTTGTTCGGCATTTTTATCGGCAAATGTTGCAATCTCATCGGCTATAAAGTGATAAGAATGAGCTCGGGACCCATCACAACCCGCCTTTCTAGAGCTATCCGCGTCTATACCACAGTGTGTCCACATAAAAGGCAATAATTTATGTAAAAATAAAAATAACCTGTTCGCAATTTTTTGTCAGGTCGATAGTTTTTTGAAGCAGATGTACCGTCCTCAAATATTCTTAATCATATGACCCTTAGGTGTCAACTATAGGTGGTGTTCCTAATCCTCCATCTTCTCGTTGGGTCTGTAGGGTTTTGGGAGAGAGAATAGACGCCCACAGCGATTTTGTCTGCACTATCTTCCCCAAACCAAGGGCCATTCGTTAGGTACTCGGAGCTATACGATGATGGATTGACTCAAAAAGTGTACAGCCTGCCTCTGTTACTTAAATTATTCCCCAGGAAAAACGTTTTCATTGCGCGACGACAATATTATAAACCAGGAAATTTAAAGACCGTAATGCGAGCTGTCTTTGTTTGACAACTTGTACTTTCCTGATACTGCACTCAGGGAAACACAGCGTCATAAAGAATGACTCACCTTAAGTTATCTCCTCCTTCAGAAATGTCATATTCGAGTCCTAAATCATCCTCGACGACGTGATCCTTCAGATGCGCTCGCTCCAGCGCCTTCCAGACAGCGTCATCCAAGTGCTCATCAAAAGGGTCCAGGTTCCAGCGTAACGTTCCAGCAAACAACACTGGGTCCTGATTGTTTTTAAAAAAAGATATAGTGCATGAAATGAGAAATTCTGTGGTGATATCTGTCTTTTATGGCGCTCTTTGTTCAAAAATAGAAATTAAAGTGAGTTAAAGAAAATACTGTCAAATTGCAATCACTGGCGCCTGCCCGCCTTGAGGACAATATTTTCATTGTCCCTGACGCCTGCTTTTCGACGTCCCCAAAGTAAGTTCGAAAGGCCCTCGAAAATGTTAAATTGACTAAAACTATGCTTTTAAATTTCAAAGATTATTACAATCACAAGCATCTCATTAGCCTCCAGAAAACCTAAAATATTGCGACTTCAGAATGCTACATATTTTAGACGCAAATTTATTTGACAAGCGAGCAGTTTAATGTTACTCATGATTCTAAAGGGGAGACGAACGGACAACAACGGGACAAACACACACAGTTGATTCATCTGGGTTTGCCACCTTGCCGTCCGTTAGTCTCCGGTTTAGAATCATGTGTAACGTTAGTCAGCTTGCTTGCACAACAATTTTGCCTTCTACCAGAATGTAAAGTTGCAAACAGACGCGCACCAAAACCGCGTCGCATCGGACCGCCGCGTGACGTAACTATTGAAACCACTAGCGACAGCGACGACTGTCATGGTAACGCTCCTCAGCGGCTTGAAGCCACGCAATGTTTTCTCACATCTGCTTCACACTTTTAATTAGCTGTTGAGGCCAAAACGCACAGTTGTGTTTTTAAGCGTTTGAGTGCATTTGACTGCGTTGAGACGGCGAGTAACCAAAATATCTCTTCCTCCTACCCTCCTACGCCACGTGCCAACCTACTCGCTGAATGAATCGGCTGCGGCCATTCAAATGAAACACGGATGGCCCGGTGAGGAGCAGACGTTTCTTGACTCAACGCAGTCGAACGCAGTCAAAGGCACTGAGACGCAGCTTTATAAGGGCCTTTAAAAATCACGCGCTGTATCAATACGACATGAGAAACGAGGCGTGTACACCTCGCCCCCCCCCCCCCCCTTTCCCGCTCTCCCAAACTTCATCACTGGTAGATCCAAGCATCGCCGCCTAGCTCACGAAAACGTTGCCGACAGCGCATTTTGCACCGTCTCAAGCACAACGAACGCGAAGCTATGCGGAGCACAAGTTCATCTGCTCCGTTTGCAGGGATTGTGAAGACGCCAAAACGTCAAGCTCCGATTGACTCCGATTACAGGATAGTGGGTAGAACTCAAAGCAAGCTACCTTGAGCGTCTCCTCACAACTATTCTTAAATCAAAGCCGATCAGAGCTCGGCGTTCTCAGGTCACCGCGATCCCCTGCTTAACAACCTTCCGATCTGTATAGCAGGCGGCGGCGCCAAGACGCCCGCGTCTGCCGCTTTGCTGCGTACTCTCGTCGAGCTTCACCCTATATGTTTGCCGCTTAGGGATGGACGGGAATCATCTTACGACGGCACCATGCGCAGATCTTCTAGGTTGTATTGGCTGTGCACATGGCGTCATCTATGTACCTGAGGAATGATGGTCATCTTCTGGCGAAGATCGTGCAATCCAATCTTCGTGATGTCCACGTTGTCCACAACTATGGACCCTGTCTTGGCTTCGATCATCCTGAAGAGCGCAAGGGCAAGGGTGGACTTGCCGGCACCGGTCCTGCCCACAATACCAATCTGAAACGAATACACCTGTCACTCCAATACTTCGCGGAGGCGCGGTCGATTGGTCATCTTCATTTAGGTTCGTCTATTTGACAATGAAGTCAAAACAGCACGGTTGAATATGGCTCATTGGTTGGACACGAGACCTGCGACATCGCTTGACAGGCACTCGGGGACAGGCAGTGTGGCCCGATATATCTGTTAACGATTGTGACCCATGGTGGAGGGAATCGCCAAGATCTAGCATTGTATGCACGCAGCACCAACACAAGCATTGATTGACACGTTGTTGTGATAACTAAAGAAGAGGCATTGGGCAGCACGAACCTGAGCCAGAACTCGTGGCAGCTTGTTATAACACGTGTTCTAGTACTAGAACTTGATAACCGAAAGGGCGAAACTTTAGAAATGTTCGCTGTTTTAGTTCTTAGTTTTGGTGATAAGATCTAAATTTTAGGAATTTATTTACTGGCTCAAAGTCTTGCCCTTTTTGGGATTGGAGGTACAGCTACAACAAACTTACGATTTTCAGAACGCAGCGCGTGTTGCCGTAAAGTGACGAGATTTCACGACATATACTGTTTCTGGATGAGTACCTTACTTTGAGTCACCTTTTGTCCGCCTTGTGCTTGGAAGTTGACGTGACGCAGGACAGGATCAGCGTCGTCGCCATAAGATACGCTGTAGTCCGTAAAGGTGAGGTCACCCCGAGAGGGCCATTCGACCGCGGGCTCCATCTCCGAATTTCTCCAGGGTGCCTAAATTCAAACGACGTACACTTTCTAAGCTCCAAGTAAAAAACTCATGGCATTGAGCAAATTCTAGTCCTACGAAAGATTCCGGAGCATAAGGGCCTTCGCAGCACGCTACAATCACGCACTCGTTATCTCGATGCACTCATATAACTCCAAAGCCGACAGGGCGGAGGAGGCGCTTTTTTGGGCCAGTCATACCTAGATGTTTTGCCGCATGATCACGCTCCCGCTCATACCCACGTGTAGAAAGTGAGGTCAGGTCATAACGAAGAAAGGCGATTGGCCGGTCTGGTGTGCCCGTAGCTCGTACCGCGCTGCGGAGTGTAGAAGGGCCTCGTCCCACCGGGCAGACAAGCGACAAACAGTGAAGGCAGACACGTCGCAGGCACGTTGTTGGCGATTCTTATATTAAGTCTACATGTTGACGACTGGCCTCAAAAGAACATGTTTATGAACAAGAGATACTCAGTCACAAACCAGTTACAGGTTCCTTGCCGTATAATGGAAATGATCAGCGGTAACAACCGAGGCGCCTCCACTCTGCAGCACACGGACTACACACAATCACACTGCTTACTCTTCAGAACGTCAGGTGGCGTTGCACTGTCACGTAACGTTATAGCCACCAAAAGCCGTGACATCACAATATCACCTCACGGTGTCACGTGATGCCTCATGGCACAGTGTAACGCGGCGTTTAGCGGAGAAGATTTATGCGATAAGTTTAGCGGAAAGGTTTTTCAGCCGCGACGATGGTACACGAATCACGCCCGGAGACCCGAGGCGAAAAGTCGCGAATAACGGCTGTCACCTAAGCAAGCTGCTTTCCTTGTCTCCCGACAGTATTTGGCGTCGGTCGCGCTGGTGAGACTATATATCAACACCGTTCAAAGCTCCATGGCTCAAATCACGCATCTTGGTTCTAGGCTAAAGAAACTAATAACGGTGAAGCTAGTTAACCGCATGACCATTTCGCCTCATTTGATAAAACTCATTCACGTATTTACCTAAGGCATCCTTCTTTAAGGCGACCAATTAAACGTTTAACTTCCTGAACTAAACGAGTTTTGCCCGCACAAGTGGATAAACACTCGTGCCCCATCGCACAGCTTGACGTTACATCTACACAGAAATATACGGAACGACGTTCCGGTATAACTAAAACTGGAATTTATTAGAGTTTTAAGGGAACGCCTAAGGGACCGCGTTGCTTTAACACTTTGTCCGTTTATCTAAACTTTTACTCACATTTAGTAGGCTTTAAAGCTTCTTAATGTGTATGATTTCAACCGCTGACTAGCAATACTCCAAATTTAGAGTAACTTCGTGGCTCTAGAGCAACTTTGATTAATATTGACCGCTTCGTAAATCTTTCTTGCACCGCCTGCCACGATAGAAACGCGGCAAGCAGCTGTCTTGCGGGGATTCTATCGGTGCCCTCTTTTCCAGCGCTCTAAACGTAATCAGCCAACGGACTGGAAACCAAAGAGTAAATTAGAAACACACGATGCGGGAAGCGGTAAAAAAAAAAAAAAGCAGAAAAATACCTCTTCCGGTAAGTCGAAGTAGTCCATGGCCCTCTCGACTGCCACCATGCTCGCTTCCAGCATAACAAGCATCATGACTGCATACGACACGTGCTCAGCCAGCTGCGGGATATTCAATGCGACAAGGCTCAGCGTGCGCGGTGATAGCAGCCGCAAGAAATCGATTCGGGAACCTTCTTTATCGTCCTGCAGAATTATCAAGCCCCAAGTGTTTTGTCTTCTGAAGCTTATTATGTGGTTAGGAAATGCAGAAGTGGGTTAGGCAGGTTTCTTTTAGAAACATTTCATTTCTTTTTAAGGCCTATTTACTTATACACCGCAGCGCGCCAACTCAGCACCATAGACGAAGTTTTGATTTTAGCTTTATCAGTGTTGTATTGACAGCGCTCCAATGCAGGTAAACCCCCTTTGCTTGGTTACACATACAACGCAACGTTAACTCAGCGCCGAGCCAGCACTACCTGTAGCGCTGATGCTGATTAGACTTTGCATTATGTTAGCACTGAGATGAATGTGTGAACCAACCTTATCAAAGAAACTGCAGAATTTAGTATTTTCTATGGCATCTCCCTGGGGGTCTAAAAAAGAAAACGAGGCATTTCTCGTTTTTACAAAAGGTCGGGTTTAGATAATTAAGCTTCCGTAATCCCACTGTACCATTCGTTGACACCTGTGTCCAATATAATTTCAATCAAGGGAGTAAATAAAGAAAATTGTGACTTTGTGACGATATTGAAAGACAAAAAAAGAAAGGTAAAATATTGCCTGGTAAGCAATTTTTACGTCAGTCGCGATTTTGAGGAGTTCAGTATGATCAATGATTCGCTTAAATTTTCAAATCGTATCATAGAAAATAACATGCACATCTAGAATGGCCCTTTAAAGTTACCATATGAAGATATCTGCATACCTGAGAGGTATCTGTAATAGGTGAGGTTATATATGACCTTATATGAAATTGTTGTATGAGGTGAAATACTAATACTTTTAACGGATGACCGGAGTAAAAAGTACGATACAGTTAGTTCTAACACAGGGTCGTCTCATATAAAATAAAATATACATTTGCAATGGCGACATAGGTTATAACATGTTACGATACTATGCATGCAACATATATGAATAAATGGCAGGTACTTCCGGCAACAATGTTAAAAGGAACAGTCAATATTTCTTCTTACCAGTGTCACGGCTCCCACGACCTTCTTTAAACCTCAACCTGTCAAACAGCACGCATTTTGGTATCTAAACTTTCCGTTCTAGCCGTTATCGAGACCATAACGTGTTGCTAAATTTGTAGATGCGTCCAAATAAGCGAGGAAGTCTGTTCCCGTTCACACTGTTGCCTATAGTGCATTCCATATATTTGATACATGGTCACATGTGGACTCTTCGTATCTGAATATACGAAGAGCAAGTGATCCAAAACACGTGTTTGGAGCATCGGAACTTGAGGAAGAGCATGCCAATGAGCAAACAAAAAAGAAAAAGCCCGATGACGAGGCAGCCAAGCGCGCGTTGCCATTTGTTGAGATCGGGCAATACAAAATCACGTGGACGCACCTGGACGGTTAACAAACGCACGAGGCGAGCAAGGAGCAGACGAACTTGCAAGCCCTATACTAAACTGCTACATTGTAACCGATCTTGTAAGTAAAAAGTATAACGCAGTTACCCGAAACACGGCGTCGCTGTTTTGTTTGCTTGTCTTGTTTGTTTTACTCTACAACTGATAAAACACAAAGAAAAGCGAAAAGAAACTTTTAGTGTTTTAGAACCAACTTACATATGGATCGTTGTAAGGCGTGCAAGTCGGTGTTCTACGCTAAGGTGCACAAAAATCAAAAGAGGATTCCTGGCCCTATTCGCTTATCAATTCGCGTATCTCTCTATGGTTAACTCACCTAACATAAAGATATTGAAGTCACGTGGCCGGCTCCGTGAGGGCAGAACACTAAACGTACCTATAACGTTACAGGCAAATGGTTGCCGTAAGTGTGTCGTCTCTTTAATTACAATAAACAAATCTTTGCGCACAAAATAAATTGGTGTACATGTTCAAAATTTAGGTGAAATAAACTGCACTCGTGTACTTTAGGAGCGACGTGCAAAGATTTGGGAAAGTTCTTGTTAAGCGAGATATAAAGAAAACTACAAGCAATACTTAGGTCTGCAGGGCGGAATCGGTTGGAACGCTAGGTACTTTCTTTCCATGATGCTGGTAACGTGACCTCAAAGGTCAAATTTAAGAGTTTCACTTGGCAAACCAAACCAGGCCATCTGGCACGCCCCAGCAAGGAATCAATTATTAATTTGGACCACCTGGTGATTATTTGACGTGCCAGCGGAATCTCAATTACGTGGTGCCTTCTCCGCAATAAGCCTCCATCAGATTCTAACATACACCATGACCAACCATTCAAACACCGCGGTTACCATTAGGTGTATTATGGAGCAACAAGGCTTCGAGGTGAACGAGCTCGGGCACGAGCTTGCCGCAGAAATCTCAATTCGGGCAACTTCATCTCATATCTCCAATCCTACAACTCCAAGATATGATTCATAGAACCTCTATGCACAAACAGAGAACCAATACGCTCGAAGAGCTCAGAGAAAACAAAACTTTACTAGAAGGTCCCTCTTACATATTAAACAGAGAAGAGAGTACTATGGTGCGCCGGGTTTAGTATCGAACTTTAATGACCGAACATCTCAAACATTATATAAGCGGCGCAGGAGGCACACCACGATGCAGTGCCTGCAGCCAGTACCGAGTAATGCCGCTCAGCCTTGGGACTGCACCAATGTAACAGCCAGAAGCAACACTGCAAGATCTTCCAGACACACTCAAGAACGGAAGCTGGGAGCATTGGGGGCTTGCTGCTTCCAGCTTCCAGGCTCGAGTGCGTCGTCGGCCCCTGTCGGGACCTAAGTAATCCTCCGGCAGCTCCTGGTTCAGCATGCCAAAGACGTGCTGTCTGAGGAGTGGTAAGACAACAGCCCGGACATGTTTTGGGGTGTAAATAAAACGTTTAGTCTCTCTTTCTTCCTTACCAGATTTGGGGATGGTCACGTAACTTTAAAATCCTCATTTAGGGCGAGTTAACTGCCGGACTATATAGCCGCATGGATGAGCAAACCGGCCCTGATATGTTAGGCCAGGGTCACGCTGATTATACATTATACAAAAAAGAAAACAGTCTGCATACAGATTCTAAGGCGAGTCAACGCGCGAACCGTGATTCGAATGCCGCATGGCAATGAGTTCGACGAGGAACTTGGCACGTGGCATTCGAAGCACGGATATTGCGAAGAGTCGTGTTTGTAGACAGTCTTTTGTATTATGTATGAACAGTATGACTTCGGCTTTAGGGGTACTTTGTTGAGCAGTTTTTATTTGGTCCAAGCATGCAAATGAGGCAGCTAGCAGTGTGTGTATGCAATCGCGAAAGAAACGTGAAACAACCTGCATCGTGTACGTGAGAGTGAGGCCTGCCATGTTGGCTTCCAGGAAATCTTTTCCTGCCACGGACACCAGGGATGCACCGATGGACAGAAACAGGATCACGACTTGTACAGCAATGATGAGGCACCTTTGCACCAGGGATAAGAAAAAATTATCATTAAATTCCAATATTTCTTTAATGCATATGTTTTTATAGGGACACTATATGTACACCAATATGTCTGTGAAATATAAATGTCATGGTGGCGCCGCGCTGATAGCGTCGCGGTGCCAGCGTGTGGTAATCACCGTTTCAAAAAGGTTCATCTCGACTTCATCAACGTGATGGTAGTCACGTGATACATTAAGGCACTTACCACTCTGACGTTACAGACGTTTTACCTATTAAGTTTTACTGGCTTACTGTTCACACAATTACATCCGTTTACTTATATACTATAATAATAAATATAAATGAAATCTGGCCATGGTAAAGAGATGGAACGCCACCACATCGTAAGGATCATCATTATTGGTAACGCAAACCCTTAACATCGAACCCAACTACGTACGCGTCTAGAGCCGCAGAATGTACGTAGCAGTTGATGTTGTCATCCAGAAAACGCTCGAGGATTTCTACGAACGGCTTGGTGGCTCCGAATGCTCGGATGGACACCGCTCCCGACACCGTCTCGCCGAAGTGAGAGAAGACGGGCGACCGACTGACGGACTGCAGACGTCGCACCTGACGGAAGGCCGGCAGCGAGGCCACCTGCACAAGATATGTACCGCCTCGATTAAGACTGCACCGTAATCTACGGCCAGCTCGCTAAACTCCATTTCACTCTCAGCCCGACCGCAGCAGACGCTACGGTCCGGTGGAGACAATTAAGAAGCGTGAGAAGGTCATCGTCACCGCGGTCATCCCGTCTGTGCATTTCCTCTTGCTTACTAATGGCGAATTCACTGGGCGCTTTTGAGCGCGCCGGGATCAGTTGACCAGATCCAGACTGGAGCATACGATCCGAACGGGGTCGCGCCGCCTACGGATCCCCAGTTGAACATGACCACTGCTCAGGGATCGGCGGATGCCTTCCCGTCGTTCAACTGCCCGGAAATCCCCTTTCCGCGGCCGCCGCGGTCGTTTCGAAGACGTTTTCGGAATCGCGGTGCTAACACGTGTTCGACGCACGAGCGGCAGGAATGGCTCAGGCGCTTCTAGAAAAGATTGCCGGAATGCCTGTAGCGCCGCAAATACCTTCTCTTCTCCTTAGTGGAAAACGAACCGGCTGTCGAGCCAAGGGGTATGCAAACGGCCATTACAAATTCTTCTGATGTCGAGACAATCTAGGAGCCCAGCCCGCGACGTGCTTCTTCTTCTTCTGGGGCGAGATGAGCGAGATCAGACCAGATGCCTTACGAGAAAGGAAGTCACGCATGTGCGCCGAGGGCTGGCCCGGCTGGCTTCCGGTTGAATCCGCCGAAATCATGGGAACGACTTTTCTCGGATCCAGATCGAGATCTGGAGCGGGAACTAATCCAAAACGACCAGTTAAACACGTCGGTCTCGATCCCGATTGCCCAGTGAAATAGGCTCGCTCCAGAAAAGTCGATCCCAGCGCGCTCCAAAACGACCAGTGGAATTCGCCATAAGTCAACCACGCAAAGCAAATGCGCCCGATCACGAGCTTTTTTTTTTTTGCGTGATTGGTTTAGCTTTACAATTAGAAAGAGAGCTGATTGCGATTCACTTTTGGAACTGCCTGATTCTCTACATCAAATTCTATTGTCGCCTTCGCGGTCGTACTTACGCTGAAACGACCTCGGAGACATAATACAAAGCTCGGGGTTCACAACGTCTTGTCTTTCTTAAGTTGTCTCCTACTATATAATGAGAGAGAGGTAAAGAAACGTATGACCTGGCAAATTTCAAGCGCCATATCATTGCTTCGCAAGAACTAAAGTAAAAGGCAACATGACGCGTGAACATCATGGACCACGTACGACTTTTCGTAAACTGTGCGTGGCTATTAGGGCCTTTTTAAAGTGCGTCTTTCTTCGCACGAATAAAAAAAAATGTACAACGCGGCTTCGGAATATTGAAAACCAACAGGGAGTACAAGTGGGGAATCGTAGGGGAAGGTGAAGAATCGGGAAAAAGCGTATTCCTCGAAGTGCTCACCGTAAGCCCCAGAAAGAGGAGCACAACGACGCCTACGATGAGGATAAAGTATGCCGACGGAAGGCAGATGACGACAAACATCAGCGCTAATGCCGCGATGTCGAGCAGGTTCATCGACATAAGAAAGGGCACCTCCTTGTCGATGAGGTCCATGTCGCGGCTGAACCTGAAAAGAACAAAGGAAGAACCCTACTGTGAATGACTGAATGAGAACGGTATGGCGGATCTGGGATAGCTGTCTTGCCTCCAGTGCGATCTCCCTACCTTCGTTAACGCTTTGGGGTTTGGTGAGCTTAAGGTTTTTATCCGCAGCCATGGCATGAAGAAAGGCAACGACGCGTGTTGGAGGCCGGCTATTCGAAAGAGCCGCCCTGCCGTTTTCACATTGTCACTGGCCAAAGTGTTCTTTAAGTAGTGTTAATTGTTTTCGGGGTTTCTATTTACTGCGATAGCATTCTTTAGCTATTGATGCGATAGCATTCTTTATCTAGTTTACCAAGTGTCCGCGGTACGCGATTTAGCTTCGAATGCGCCGTGCGTATAAGTGGTGCTCGTATGTGCCGCGAGTATGCGGAGGGGCTGCGCGGCGGCGCAGCGCCTCCGCACACACAGGCGCCGCGCTTATGCGGACGGCGTCCTAGAGCTTGTCCTTCAGGTCGTCCGAGAGGTCGTCCTAAACGTCATCGTTGACGTCGTTCTCTAGGCCGTCTTCCTGGACATCGTCCTAGACGTCGTTTTTTGGGTCGTCCTAGAGGTCGTCCTTGAGATCGCCCAAGAGGTCGTCCTAGCGGTCATTCTATTAAAGGTGGAACACTATCAATAGTACTATCAATAGTATCGATAGTCGCCCAAAATTTGCTATCGATAGTAAAAAAAACTATTGATAGACTATTGATAGTCGACTATCGAAAACCTATCAATAGTACTATCGATAGTCGACTATCGAAAACCTATCGATAGTACTATCGATAGTACTATCGATAGTACTATCGATAGTCGACTATCGTCAGTAAACCTAGCGATAGTACTGTCGACGGTTTACCATCGAAAGTTTTGCGACACTAATAGTTCGCGTCGCGCCCTCTTCTCTTTTTCTCGCTTTATTTTTTTCAAATAGTACAACTAGCCCAGGCATTTACCATTCCAACTTTGGTTCAGCTTTCAGTGACGACGAAGACCGGAGTTTGGGAGAAGAGGGGAGTAAGGGAGGCGAGCTGCGGTGTGGCAACTGTGTTCGTTCTAGTGATTAAAACTATCGATAGTACTACCGATAGTATCGATAGTCGCCAGAAATCTGACTATCGATAGGAAAAGAACTGTCGGTAGTACTATCGATGGTCGACTATCGAAAACCTATCGATAGTACTATCGATAGGTTTTCGATAGCCGACTGTATATGGCTAGGGTTCCATGCATTTTTGGTATCCGTATGCAGAAACAAAATTGCTTGTTAAAGCACTTTATTGTTTGAAAAGTCATATACGCCAGGTCACCTCGATATTCATTATATTAAAGAAAGACGTTGAAACACATGATCATGGAGAAACTACTGAGAACAATGCGCCTTCTCCCGCTCGAGTCCGGTGACGTCACTGCTTTAAACAAATAAAATCAGCAGCTTTTGTATATGTACAATACTACATGTACATATTTACTTTGAGCAAAAGATTTCACCAAAGTTGTAATTGAACCTTTGAGTGTTTATCATAGTGATCACAAAGCAGTTATCACTAGCGTTTCAAAATGATGTATATATACTGTAAATAAACATTTGGGGAAGTGATTGTATTTGTCTCTTTGTGAATCGTTTGTGGCGGTGCTGTACAGCTTCGCTCGCCAACCACCTACAGTGAGTGGAATGGCTCAAGATTTTATTTTTAAACAGATTTGGTGTTATCGGTATTTATTTTTGTTGGCGTACAAAAATATGAGAAACAATTGAAATAAAACCGGACACGCGGTCATGGGACTACCCTATTTCCAGGAAACATGCTCATGGCCTGAATACATAGAAAACGTTCTGGTATTGATAAGGAAAGGAAAGCAAGCAATAATTGTGGTATCCCCTTCCCAGCCCCCCCCCCCCCCCAAAAAAAAAAAAAAAAAAAAAAAATTAGCTTGGTGGTTCGTCCCGCTGGCTGTGACCCTTGTCGCGTACTCTCATAAAACTTGAAGAGTAAGTGAGTAGGTCGATTTTGGCATCTTAATGCAATGTTTTTGTAGACGTCACATCACCTTTTTTAGGTGAAGGGTGGTGTTGCTCGACGCTTTGGTAAACACTCCTTAATAATTCAGGTGCTGGCTTTAGCCAACTCCCAGATTTGTTTATGCTTATCGGATAAGAATATCCCGGAGCAGGCTAAAGGATAAAGTGTTAATTATTGAGAGGTGTTTACCTAAACCTCTGATTCCCTCATTTCTCTCCCCCCGCGGACCAGGCGATGTGGTGTCCATAAACACGCGCCAATCAGAGTGTTCAAGTTGGTCGGTTTACCTACTCCACAGGGGTGTTTTCATCTCAAATCGGGCAGGGTCTAATCTTTAATTTTCACGAAAAAAATATATATATATTTCGGGGGTATTTCTCAAATGAAGGAGGGCGCAAACGGCATGTTCTGCAGATTTTTCGTTCTCGAGTTACGAGCCATAGAAGCAGCAGTGGCAGAAACTAGTGTTTTTGCCAGGTAGCGTGTTTGACACCCTCTGCTGGCGCTATTGTCTTTTCTACACCCTTTTAACTTTTCCCCCTCATTTAATAGGTATTACAAAGATTCCTCGATGTATTCAAATATTTTTAGGAATTTGATTGTTTTCTAAAAAACATGTCAAACTCGTCACTCCGGTCGATTTTCGGTCAACTTTGACAGGTCATTACTTTGTCTGTGCTTCAGGTAAATTTTCTTTCTTTGGCTCTACAGAAAGCCCAAAGCAAGCCCATTATAGATATATTAATACTATTATGATCTGTCGACTAGCCGGTCCGCTACCTTCGCGTAAACGTTGTAAGAAATAAAAAATGGTGAAAGTTTGAGGTCGATTTTCTCAAAAAACACATTTTAGTAAATTTTTATTTTTAAATTTTTTTCGGACATATTAGTCGAGTACAAGAGAAAACAGTCTAGAAATGTAATATTTTTGTTGTATGTCCTCTGTTTGAGCCGCAATCGCGTGAAATGTGTGAACATTTGTTATTTTTCCCAACGTTTACGTTAAGGTACGGCTACTCGGCAGATAATAATGATATTACTATATCTATACTAGGCATGCTTACGGCTTTCTATAGAGCTAAATAAATAAAATGTTCCTTCAGTACAGACAAAGAAATGATCTGTCAAATTTGACCAAAATTCGACCCGAGACACGAGTTTGACATTTTTTTAGAAAACAATCAAATTATTAGAAATATTTGAATACTTCAAGGTATCTTTATAGTATTAATTAAATGAGGGGGAAAAGCTAGGAAGGTGTAGGAAAAAGACTAGCGCCAGAAGAGGGTGTCAAACACGCGACCTCCGACGGCAGGCGAAAACACTAGTTTCTGCCACTGCGGCTTCTACGCTTCTTAACCGAAGAACAAAAAATCTGGGAGACATGCGGTTTGCGCCCTCCTTCATTTAAAAATGCCCCCAAAACACATATTGTTTTCGTGAAAATTAAAAATTAGACCCTTTTAGTCTACTCGATTTGAGATGAAACCTCCCTATCGGGGAGGCTGAAAGGGTCCAGTTTTTAATTTTCACGAAAAAATATATGTTTTAGGGGCATTTCTCAAATGAATGAGAACGCAAACCGAATGTTCCCTAGATTTTGTGTTCTCGAGTTACGAAGCGTAGAAGCCGCAGTGGCAGAAACTAGTGTTTTTGCTTGCCGTCGCAGGTCGCGTGTTTGACACCCTCTCCTGGTGCTAGGGTTTTTTCTACACCCTTTTAACTTTTCCTTCTCGTTTAATAGGTACTATAAATATACCTTCAGGTATTCAAATATCTCTAATAGTTTGATTGTTTTCTAAACAAAATGTTAAACTCGTCACTCAGGTCGAGTTTTAGTCAAATTTGACAAGTCAATACTTTGTCTATACTTAAGGTGAATTTTATTTCTTGGGCTCTATAGAAAGCCCTAAGCATGCCTAGTACAGATATAGTAATATCATTATGATCTGATGAGTAGCCGCTCCGCTACCTTCACGTAAACGTTGTGAACAATAACAGATGTTCACACATTTCACGTGATTGCGGCCCAAATAGAGGACATACAACCGAAATAATACATTTCTAGATTGTTTTTTCTTGTAGTGAACTAAAATATCTAAATGAATATTAAAAATAAAAATTTCCAAAAATGGCGTTTGTGAGAAAATCGATTTCAAACTTTCAACATTTGTTATTTCTTCCAACGTTTACGTGAAGATAGCGGAGCGGCTAGTTGACGGATCAAAATATTATTATATCTATAATGGGCTTGCTTTGGGCTTTCTGTAGAGCCAAAGAAAGAAACTTTACCTAAAGTACAGACAAAGTAATGACCTGTCAAAGTTGACCAAAAAGCGACCGGTGTGACGAGTTTTACATGTATTTTAGAAAATAATCAAATTCTTAAAAATATTTTAATACGTCAAGGTATCTTTACAATACCTATTAAATGGGGAGAAAAAGTTAAAAGGTTGTAGAAAAAATACTAGCGCCAGCAGTATTTTTTCCTGACCCACAAAACAACCATCGCATCGGAAGCACTGCTGTACGATAACAGCCTGGGCAGCCGCTTGTTGTCTGAGGCGCGCAGGGGCCCTCCGGACACTAGTTTACAGACGCCGGTTTGATGCTACGGTGACCTCGAGCGCATGTCGGGTCTGCGGAGGCTACGATGAAACGGTGGAGCACGTTGTGCTAGATTGTGCGGGACTTCAGCCTTCCCGGTGCCCACGCCTGCAGAGCCCCTTAGTGCTCGCAGAGGCGCTGGGCTTCACAATTACTGAAATCGGCCGCAACCAAGCAGACTACTGTGATGCACAAATCTCTGCAGCTACGCAGATAAAGGGGCCTTCTAGCGGCCGGCATTGGCTTGTAGTGGCCACTAAACGAAGATTTGCAGACTGGTGGAATAAGATCCACCTCAGGGGGCATTAAGACCTCTTCGCTCCCAGGCTTGGGCACGAACTTAGTTCGCGCTCGCCCGTTTCAAAGGGAACAAGCCGCATCCTCATCATCATCATTATCAGAGGGTGTCAAACATGAGACCTGCGACGGCAAGCAAAACACTAGTTTCTGCTGCTGCGGCTTCTACGGCTCGTAACTCGAGAACGAAAAATCTGGGGAACATGCAGTTTGCACCCTCCTTCATTTGAGAAATGCCCCCAAAACATATATTTTTTTCGTGAAAATTAAAAATTAGACCCTTTTAGCCTGCCCGATTTGAGATGAAAACACCCACAAGCTCTTCTGACTACGCTTCCGGCCAACGAGAAATAGGCTACTCAAACGTCCATATTCAGAGCCAGAATTAAGAACACACGCATATATCGTTTCGTCCACACATGACACAAGCCCCATTGGGGCTGTTAGTGGGTCCTGGAGCGAATCAGTGAAGCGTAATCACCTGTTGATGATCCGTCCCGTAGACGTTTTGTCGAAGAAGGAGATGGGAGTCCGCATTACGCTTTGCAGGAGCTGGTTGTGGATCGATGAGGCCGCTCGTATTGCGCCGAACACAAAGACGACGGAGAATATGAAGTTGAATACGCTCATTCCAACCAGGATGGCTCCATAGCCAACCATGTACGTAGCTCTCAGGGAAGGGTCTGGGTGCGAGGACCACTCGCTGAGCCACAGGCCTGAACCATACTTCGCAACAAAAAAAAAAAAAGAATGGGATTTTGCGTGTATTTCGCACGTTTATAATGTGATGGTGGGTCTAATTCTATCACCCACTTGACTGGATCATGTTAAACTAACAACTTATTCCGTGAAAATTAACGTTATGACATGAGTTGCGAATACACATGCCTAGATTTTTACTTTTACAACCTTTTGCTATCTGAATCATGGAACTGGAAATTAATTTATAATCTATCTGCATTCAAGCTTCTCAGAATTTATTTTTTTGTCCGCAATCTGCATTTCAGATTTCTAGAAACAATACCAGTTACATTTTGAGTTCCACAATCCAGATAGTGAAAAGTTCATGATGTAAGAATGTATAAACAAGTAAGACGAAGACAACGCAACCGCATAATTCATCTAGAAACAGACTTAGGAATTCTAAAAGCGAGCAACCGGTTAAATTCGGGAAAATTGAGAAAAGGGAAAGTAACTGAGAGGAACAATGGAATTTACGATAAAATAAAATGTAAAGTAAAGTTGAGAAGATTCATCTTTGATTAGAAACATTCAACTTCAGTCATCGCCAGACGCAGTGAGAAATTATAAAATATAGGTTTTGCTCTTTTAATGGTGTGACTCAATGATCTGACGGCCGTATCTGCATATGTGCTCCCCCCCCCCCCCCCACACATACACAGATTTTTGCCTGCTCGGTACGAGGCCTGCATGATAGAAATCAGGTGAGGCCTTGTAAACTTCATTGTAGTGCTCCCGGAGTCGGTGATTTGTGCACCTGCCAGTCTGACTTTTGTTCAGGCTTCCGGAGATCAAGGAAACGGAGTACACCTTCGCTTCTCTGCATGTCATAGATAATTTATTTTCATGTTTAATGGTGCATAAACAGAAAATTCGGCTATTATTAACTCGGTAGCAAAAATGCTCAAAGCGTATACGGCAAAAAAAAAAGAAAAAAAAAGAAAAGAACAACGACATTTGTGTTGGACCTTGTTGCCATGGATTTTAACGGTTGAGCGGAATTGTACAGGCAAGGATTAACTGCAAATCTCACTTTTCGTTTTCTTTTGAGGCAGAGGGCTGGTATTTAAGCCAGAGAAAAAACTTCTTTAAGACGAAGCGAAGAGGGTCGACTGGAAAGCCAGCCTGAACAAGCCTCTGATGCTGACCTTTAAAACTGCCTTGTGAAAACAAGATGCACGGCTTCGTAGAAGATGATGAGACCAGTAATTTGATGATACCTTTTTTAACCGATTTTGAGTGAGCACTAGAAAAAGGAATGAAAGGTTGCACTGACCTTTGCTGGAAATTCAAGCAAATACCAGAGGAACTACTACGAAGCCGCATGTCGATTTACAGGAGCCCTTCGTTCGGAGGTTCTTTCTTCGTGAAGAATGAAAAGAGCACCAGACGAGCAAGCAAAACATGATTCAGGATGAATAATTAAGTAGTCATCGATGAATCTGAAAACATTCTAGACAGGAGAGGAGTTGTCCGTATGCGCCATTATAGCGCTATTAAGGGATAGAAGAAAAATCTCGCTGAGAACAGGTTCGAGACAAGAGGCAAAGCAAACGCCTTTCTTTTGGCAATATATCTTTTTTTTTTTTTTTCGTGTTCAACTAAGGTTGACTGGTGGTAAAGATAAAATAAGCCAACAAATCTGTTAACAGAAACACCCAAGGAATTCTGAAATTCAACGGCTCCGTGTTCGGGAATGTGGTCAGGGATTGAAACGAGCAGGCCGGTTTGATCTAGGTTGAAATTTAAAAAAAAATCGAGTGAGGCCAAGAAACAAATAAACGCAACTGATCCGTGAAATCGATTCGACTGAGTTAGACGCTTTAAAAAAGTTGGGAGAGGGGGATGCGTGGGAGATGTCTTTGAAAAAAGAGACCTAGAGGTTTTTGCCAACAACACCTTTCCGACACAATACTTCTGAGTGGGACACCATCTTTTTGAGGCTTTGCCTTAAGGTACACGGAAAGGTACCTTAAGGTATACGGAAAGAGACAATGTCATGAGAGACGAGAGACGAAGACTGGAGTTGAATTTCTCAAATCAGAGATGATTCTGTCAACTTGATTGGGCTTTTTGGCTTATTGTATCTTCCCACCTTCTTCTCGTATTTAGTTTCCCTTTCCTAGATTTTCCCGTATTTAATGAGTTGCTTGCTTTTGGAATTCATATATGCATGTTGGTAGTTGAAAGGTGTAGTTGTGTCGTATTTGTCTTACTTGTTCATTCTTTCTTCACCCTCGACCCGCACCAACACGCTCTTTGTCTATTAATACCTATGTTATTGAGCCATGTTTCATACAAATCCCAACAGAAAGTCCCTGATTTTTAATACAGCCGCCTTCCCTTAAGCTCCTTGCTTTCTTTCAGAAATCAATATGCTACGTCTCAGATTTCGTTCCCTCGGCCTTCACCTCCTTAAGAATCTCTCTCATCCCGGAGTGGCCTTGGACCCTGGATTCTACTGCAAAAACTGTGCATCAAGCAACTGCAACATGCAAATCTCGAGGAAAGCGATTTCTCTCGAACTGCGGCTTTTCAGAAAGGTCCCTCTCATTTACATGACGAACCATTTCGGAACACGTTTCCGTTCGCACCCTTCGTACCGTTTTCTCTTGGACGCCGGGTTTTGCCTTTTGGAAAGCTCGTGGAAAAATTCATTGCTGGGGTCAACGTTTTTCCTACTGGATCAACAAGACGAAGTTAGACCCACCAGTGCTACTGTGCAACTGGCACCTCTCTGCTGACACGATAGATTTGCTCCCCAAAAGTTTTAAGTTCACCCCTGACCTTCCTACGAAGAACGTTGACCCACTTTCCTCCGAGCACTAAGCCGCCGCAGCAATACCAGAGCCTTAAGGCAAGGTTTTCTCGGCTCGGCGATCCGTGCTGTATACTTCCACCCACCCCTCGGGCAAGTCCCGGTGCGAGGCACTGTCAAAGCAATTCGCCAAGGACACCTAAAGTTGTTAGAGGCTGACAAGACTGGTATTTCTGTTATTTTATAGCAGGGCGTCTTGGCCGATAATACGAATATTGCCCTTTCAAAGAATTGTGAATAACTTAACTCACGGCCGTCCAGATCTTCTGGATCAAAAGTGAAATTGCTTTATTTATCGTTGAACCTCCCGTCACTCTAGAATCCCATCGCTGGCCCCGCAAAGCAGTATTTTTCTTTTTTTAGGCAAAAACGCATAAAAATGACGTCCCTCTCAAAAGTATTGTGTTGGAAAGGGTCTTTTCCTGCAAAGACATCTCACGCATTTGCATCTCCCAACCCCTTAGAGTGTCTAACTCACTCGAATTTATATCGGCCATCGGTTGTGTTTATTCTTCTTGCTTGCATCGCTCTAGTTTTCGCCTTGTCATCGAAGACATATATTTCAACCTAGATCCAACTGGACATCTCGTTTCAGTCTTTGACGCCATTCACGAATATGGACACGTTGATTTTCAGAGTTCCTCTGGTGTTTTGTTGACAGATTCGTTGGAATATTTCATCTGTACCTCCAGTCAACCTTTGTTGAATACGGAAGAAAAATTCATCTAAAAAAGGCGCTTTCATTCGCTCTTTTTTCGCACCTGTTCTTAGCAAAATTTTTGGCATATTTGTTGATAAAGTTTTAACGGCTCGTAAGAAACAACTCCTCACCTGGCTTCCACGTTTTCAGATACGTTGATAACTACTTAATAATTGAACCGGACTAAAACTCACCTGAAAGTATTACAGGCGCTTTTTCCGCTTGCTCGTCTGGTCTTACCTTCACGAAGGTAAGAACCTTCAAAAAAAGGTCTACAGTACCCTGCGGCTCATGCTAGCTCTTCTGGTGTTTGGTGGGCTTTCCAGCAAAGGTCAGTTAAACATGTTCCTCCTTTTTCTAGTGCTCACTCGAAGTCTGTTAAACAAGGTACCATCAGATCACTCATATCATTGTCTTTTAAAACGTCAGGTCAACATTTTTCACGAGGGAGTTTTAAAACTCAGCATGAAAAGCTTCTTAAGGCCGGCTTCCCCGTCGACCTTCTTTTCTCTGTCTTAGATAGGTTTCCTCGCGGATTTGAATGCCAGCCCTCTGTTTCTAAAAATACAGCAGATTTGCAGTCATTCCTTATGTGCACAAGTCCGCTCATCGCTTAAAATTCATTGCATCACGGTTCGATACGAAGGTCATGTTTTCTTGCCCTATGCGCCCCCAGCAACTTTACCAAAAGGTTGCTGGGGGCACAGGGTTTTAAGTTTCTGCACCGTAAAACATGAAAAGAAGCTCATGCATGCAAACGAATTAAGGTGTACCCCATTCTATCCAGCTGCGGGAGTCAGTGCATTAATCAGACAAGCAGGTACACAAATCACCGACTCTGGGAAAATTACGATGACGTTTCCAAGGCCTCACTTCATTCCTATCATCCCATAGTCATGCACGCCAGTTCCTGCACAGACTGCAGGCCTCGCTTTCAAGAAACAAGATTACTTTCTTTGTGTGTGTGTTTGTGGGGGGGGGGGGGGGGGCGGGGGCATCACAGCAGATATGGCCTGCAGATCATAGCGTAAATTATCGTGAACAGCGCAAACAAAAACAATGCTTCTAATTTCTCACTGCTTGTGACGAAGACTGATGTTAGATTTAATTTCTCAAATCAAAAGGGACTCTGTCAACCTGACTTTGCATTTTAGCTTATCGTATTTTCCAACCCTCCTCTGATTGTTACTTCCCCTTATAGGAAAGACCAGTTCAAACTGGTACCAGTTTCAAACTTGGTTATTGCTCCAGTTCGACCAGTTGGATAATGGTTGAACTGGTCGAGGTGGTTGGAACTGGTCACACTGGTTGACTGGTCATGGCGGTTGAACTGGTCACACTGGTTTACTGGTGATGATGGTCGAACTGGTCATGGTGTTGAACTGGTCACACTGGTTGACTTGTCACGCTGGTTCGACAAAAAATATCTTCATTTGTTCAGGCCACCACTGCGGTTCGTAAATCTTTATTATACACAAGTGTAGACACAATACGCCTACTACAAGTATCAGCTGAACATACATTGAGCGCATACACATACACGGCACATACAAACATCAATATAACAGCACACTAACCCGAGCACTAGTTACGAGCTCCGCATTTGTGTCTTTTATACTGGTCATTTTGAACGTACGACATTTCTCGGTGACCACCTAAGCAATTTTTTTCCCAGCGTGTTGATTTTTTCCAACAATGTCGTACCTCTGAGAGTATTTTGAATAACTCGGGGGATGAATCTCTTTGTAAAAAGAAAACGCTCGGACATACCGTAATTAATTGAAGGCCAATAAATAAAGTGAGAAAGAGGGGTCAAACTGGTAACCAGTGGGACCAGGTAGGCCAATCTGGTGACCAGTTCGGCCAACCTACTGACCAGTTAAGCCAATCTGGTGACCAGTTTGACCACTCTGGTGACCAGTGAGGCCAATACCGTGACTAGTCAGGCCAATCTCGTGACCAGTTAGAAGGCAATCTGGTGACCAGTTAGATTAATGATTACCAGTTAGACCAATCTGACTACCAGTTGCACCAGTTTGATTTCCTGTTAGACCAGTCTGACCAGTTCAAATACCAGTTTGAGCAGTTCAAATATCAGCCTGACGAGTTAGATTTTCAAACAGGTTTTTCAATAGGGGGGCCCTTTTTTCGATTTGCCCTGATTTAATTTGTTGCTCGCTTTAGGAATTCCTGTCAGTTGCTATTTAAATATGTGGATGCGTTGTTAACGTGTTACTGGTTTATTCTTTCTTCAATCCTGACCCGCACCAACACGCTCTTCGTCCATTAATAGTGAAAAGTTATCAAGGTTTTTCTGTACGGGTATAAAAAATACTTTAGGTCCTCAGTTATTTTGTTGCGGTAGTTTATGAATTGCGAACATATTAAGTAATATCACTTCAGGTGTCAAAACTGACTAAAATACGTCAGTTAGACCACGTGAATAACAAGTGCTTATATAATTGACATAATTCATATCACTATAAAGCGTGGAGCTCCAGAGGTTTGTGCAGGAGTGCTTGCACCAAGGTGGAAAATATGCTTATAACGTTAATTTCGCTTGCTTTCTTTAGCAATGACAAAAGGGGGAGTAGAATTTATTATTCCATGCACAACTATTGTACACACAATAGGGGTGTGCTGTATATAAAGAAAACGTATTCTGCGGAGCATGTGTAAAACCATAAACTATATCTGAGAAATAACTTTTTTTTCGTGAGCCATACTTTAAAAAATAGATGCAAGTGAACACTCTATGATACATGCTTACCACATCTGCTATATTAAGAAAACGTATAAAAACGATCTTTCTGCAACAAATAAAGACTCACTGAAAACAATTTGCAGATCGAAAATTGGTTATTTTTGTTTTTAAAAAGGTATAATGCTCGTTAGGGCCGACTGGTTATACTTTCAGACACTAATGTTTGTAATGCGACATTAGGGTGCTTCCCATCATATATCTTTAAATAAAAAAATACATGACCTGGGGGACAACAGGCTTTTACCTTAACCTGCGCGTGTTGCCTTTGAGGCTGCAGGGACAAAGTGTGATTAATATTTCGTGCAATTATTGTTACTTGCATCTCTTAAATTGAACTATAAAATTATTCGCTCATCCTCTTAATGACACCTCTAATACTAGCTCTTATAAAGTACAGCGTATACACCAACGCTTCAATCAAAATTTGGACGGTCGATATCAATGGGGTTCTTAACTTTTCGTGCTAGGAATTACTGAAAAGGTGCCCGATGTTTGGGGAAGCATTCACTAAAATTATGGAACAATTGGCTCATTTGATTAAATCAGAAAAAAAATAAAAACAATTTTTCCCATCTTTTCGGTTTCCACTTAAATAATATTTTGTCACTGTGGCGCTTATTTTGGCCCCATGAAGTAAACAATGGGTAAGCCAACTGCATTTTTGCTTAATATCACCGCCATTTCTGTCGTAATAAACGCCAGAATAGCCCAGGACAATTTGTTGGGTAAATTTGAGAAAAAACCGCTTTGATCTAATTTTAGAATAGACAAGATCAGTTTTTATTTCTTTTCTCTGGACCTTTACGTCTTCGTGTATTCATGCTTTTGATTACTGAATGCACCACTTTAGGCACCTCTGTAGTTGATCCCAGAGCGATACGTTGAGAAAGCGTTTTTTCCGGATCGCCCAAAGTGGGATCGAAGCGTTAGTGTACACACGGCACAATTTCTCTCCCTAATCTAAGCAGCAGCAATTTTATGGAACGAGAAATGCACCAACCTCAAAACAATATGCAACAAAAATTGCCACCGTTGATGGCACAATAAACTTCCAGCCCGTCCGCATGAGGTACTCAGAGTACACGTCCCACTTGACCTGTTAAAACATTGACAAGCATTGGAGCTTTTATTCTTATTTTTACAAAGCGCATGAATATAACAGCCACAAACGTGACAACTCCCAGGTCAGAAATATGTTGCATAAAAATTTAAATATAAGATCTCTAAGAAAACATCGAGTTTGTATTATAAGACATTTTTTGTTTAGGTTTCTTATATATATATTTTACCCAATTTTTTATATATTCGGCAAGCGAGAGACAAGGTTACAGTATTCTGTAAATTAATGTTCTGAGACCGGTTATATTGCTGTTACTGATCAAGCATTATCAAATATAGCAGCTCTTTTATGACGATGAAATATCTAATAAACTGTTAGGACCGCTGAATGGGAGAGTTGGTGGTTCATGTTATTTACCGTTACAAAGCACAGTTCTCGTTCTTAGTGCATAAAAAAAGAATTGTTCATTGTAAGTAGAAGAAGAAGATAACCAATTCAAAACCAAGAATTAAGTCAGCGCTGAGAAACTCTATTATTTTTAGTGTGCCTGTGTCCGTGAGTGCTTTTCTTTGGTGCACTGTAACCTTAAATAACACCCAATAAACACTGAAGGTTTAAACTGGTTCATAGAGATATAGCTTGGATATTAATGTAAAATAAAAACAAAAAGTTATTTCTATAGTAGAATCGCTTGCAGCTCCAACTTCGCGCGCTTGATAATATTTTATCTGTTTAATATTTCGGCCGCAAGGCCACCTCACTTTTTGAGACACGCTTCCTTTCACGTCTTTTCCGCTGGGTGGCGTCACCTCCTTTGAAAATGTGAATACTACATAAGCTAACGCTAACACGCCGCCATCAAGAGCATTTTGATTTAAAAAAAGTCATCGGGTTGATTCTGCTTAAAATTGCACTCCTATATCTTTTATATATATTGAATAATAAGCACATGTGTAAGGAAAGAAGCGATCGTAGCTCAAGCCCGCTCGAAACCTTGTTGAAAGTAAAGAATCCCGAACTATATATTTTACAGAATTAAACTTTCCCGTGCTTCACAATGAACAAACCACATTTGTAGAAATATTTTACCAACAAGGCTTTCAAAAACATACTCGAATAACAAATATTTTACACAAATAAGTGACTGGATGGTGAAGAAGGGCAAACTTACGCTTCCAGTGTTCGTCTGTTCCTCGTCGTCCAGCTTCAGTTCATCAGTGGAAGTTTTCTCCACCAATTCTTCGTTGGCGCTAAAAAAGATTTGGGCATTGGTATAATGTTATGTATAATTTATGAGGATATATAACAGATTCTTTACATTGTCCTTAAATGTAGAAATAGTTTTATCTATCATATTTTGATCCTTAAACACACATCTCGTGCCACACCATTGTTGACATTTTTGTGCCACACGGTAATTTTCAGCTGTAAACTTAATCAGAACGGAAAAAGATCGAATCATTAATATCGTATTTTGTTATCTGGTAGTGAAAAATAAACATCAAAATGTTTATGCGCTGCATTAGAAAATAAGATCCTGCAGATAATTATAACATACTAAAACAACATTCGCATTGCGTCTTGCTTTACAAAGAAGAGCATGCATTAATACATTTCAGTTGTTCATTAAAATACGCATGCTAGCATTGGACATTTATTGTTGGATATACTTTCACAACTAGTCTAGACAAATACAATGTTGCTAAACAAAGCAGTTGTACTGGGCTGGTTTGGGTGTCAACAATAAAAGACAAAACCAGCACACCAGCGGTCCTTCGGCAATTTATGCTATGAAAATATGCGATGCTGTTCTATTCTTTATCCTTCTACTTTCTTTCACACGAGAAAATAAACACGTCATTTCACTAATAGTTATTGCAATAAACGTGCAATTAAAGAAGGACAAAAATAAAACAACAACATTTGTCTGAGAACACGCACCTCTCAATTTTATTTCCGGATTTTAGATTTTGACTGCTCGAAGATTTCTTGACGTGTTTCTTGAGGAAGGCGGAAAAATCGCTTTTACTGTTCTTTAATAAGTCCCTGTAGGTGCCTTGCTCCTTGATGCCGCCTTTGTCAAGCAGCACAATCCAGTCCACTTGGGAAAGGACAGTCACAGAATGGGTAACGAGAATTCTCGTCTGGAAAGGTAAACATGCAAAAATAAAACAAACAAACAAGCTATTGTTAATTTCAGGACCTGTTCATAATCTTTTTTTTTTCTTTTCATGACATCCTTCGGCATACAAAATTATTTCCCAGATTGTTAAAACTTTCTGAGCAGATTATAGATTTTTGTTCTTACTGGTGTACTCCCTATTCCCTTCATTCTCAGCCAAAAGCCATGGTTTTGGCAATAAATTATTTCAAAAATAAATAGAAGATTACCCCTTAATGTGAAAGACGGAGGTATAAATGCATGGTTTTCTATTTCTTGCATTTCAGCCTTATATAGTACGGACTCTACGAACTATGAAAAGACGAAATAAATCTGAGCCGGTGCAAACGTCGAGCAATTGCTTTTATTTAATTACGGTAACCTCCGGCATTTAGACAAGATTTTCTACGCCAGCAAATCTGCCTTAAGAAACATGCACACAAAGGTTACACAATGATATATTTAATTGCCATATACATACCGAAACAAACTTTCACAAACGCCTCCCGAACGGGCTTCAAGGCCCAGATGTACGTCCGATTTTACCTTGGATTTCAGAATGCCAGAAGGCCCCACAACGTTTTCGAAGAGATGTGAAGCCACGTGCACGTCCACGGCGCTGAACGGATCGTCGAGAAGGTAGACATCTGCATCATGGTATATCGCTCGTGCCAGGCTGATCCTTAACTTTTGACCGCCGCTCAGATTGATGCCCTGCGAAAAACACCACGTAGTACCTTTGAATAATTACGCATCTACATTTCATAATTCACGTACCTTCACTTTCTTGGAAATGAACACATGGTGAGTTTGTTCAAACAAAGCTCATCAGTAGCAAAACAAAGCTATAAAAACTCAAAAAGGGACGTTCTGTTAGACAAGGTTTTGTTTATTTAGCAATACTCAAGGACAAAACAGGTATTTTAGCGCGAAATCAACCACCACTGTCAGCCTTGCTCGTAGCTAGCTTTCGTTTGCTCCAAAGTAAGTAACGTTCATAAAATAATATAATGCTCATAAATGTTCGCAAGCTTGCTGAGCATATTGGTTTTCAGAAACCTTCGTTTGACAAAAGGTTTGAGTAATATGTCCACGGAAATTATATAACGCTCATAAACTTCAGCAGAGCATAGGCATGCAGAGAGTATTTGTGGTTCAGGACTGGTCACTGGAGTTTCAGTTCCAAGCTTTGTTCTCTGCACTTTAATTCACCGGATTATTTTTCATAACGCTGTGGTAATGTCACTAACCGGTAGTGTCAAATTTCACTGTCAAGTAACCTATCTTGGTGATATATAGTCACTGATAGCCGAAGAAACACAGGGATCATCTCAATATTGCTTCGCAGCCAATCAGATTGCGGCATTAGCCGATAAGTACGACGAAGAACCAATCACCAAGCAAGATGCCCGAATAAACATAATAAACGATTCCCTTCGTTCATTAAGCTGTCAGTGACAACGGTGAAGAAAGAAACAGTGATTAGAACTTCTCCGTCAATTCACCTATAAAATCCGAGACATTGCGTTCTCCAAAGCGATTGGTTCATCTGATGAACACTCCTCGAACATCATTGAGCAAGAACGAATAAATTTCTCTCAGGGCGAGCACGCACCAGATCAACTATAATGCAACGAAATAAAATGTTTTTTAGCCTGATTATGCAGCAACACGTGGACAGATGTTCAGTTTTGTTATAGTGAATATCAATGCGGCACAATGTGCGTTGGGCGCAGGTTCCGCTCAGCACGCTAGTTCTCGGCAGACCTCGTGTCCCTGAGAGATACACTGCCTCGACAAAAAGAAGATTCGGGCTACAGCTGCAGGTGGTCACCGCCGTACCTTATCTCCGACTTGCGTGTTCTCCCCCGCGGGAAGCATTTCCAGGTCCGGCTTGAGGGCGCAGGTCTCCAAGACCTTCTGATACCGTTCTTCATTGGCGGTGTTTGTAAAGATGATGTTCTCTTTCAACGTCGCGTTCTGGATCCAGGATTGCTGCGCAACGTAGGCCAATCGCCCCTGGAAACCGAAGATGGTAAATGATTCCAAAGAAAAGAAACTAGCAAGAAGTCAACAGTGGAAGTTAACCATACAAAACATAAATTATGTTCCAAAGTTCACCTTTAAGAGCAATTCTTGGTATGCAGTCGAAACAGCAATTATTTGCTGCGCTTATAATGGTTTAACAAATCAAAAGGGCGTAAGCTGTCGTACCTCAATGACTTGCGGTCTTGGTGCAAAAAAGCCTTATCTTTCTTTCTTCTTCTGCTGGTACCACATGTTAGTTTGAGCGTGATCATATCTCTCATATCTTAGTGGTTGAAGGATTAAATAAAAAGCGATAACTGTTCGGAGCATTCTTAGTGTATTACTTAATACTTGGCGAAGACTGTCAGTGAAAAGAGTTAATTTTATTATCTTTCTAGAGTAGCCCATGTTTCCTCCCATGCACAAAGTAAATGGTGGCGCAAAATATATTACAGGGCTTTTTACAAAGCAAGAATACGCTATGCATCTCCGAAAGCTCATTCTCGACTTAAATGGACACTAAAATTAGTCCTTAAAGGAACTTTTTGGGGTTCTTCTGCTTGTCCATATTTTGCTCCCAAAAAAGTTATTTTAAGCACACCCTAAAAGCGTTCTTCGTGAAAAACCTATAAGGAGTTCTTTCAAGCTTCTTTTTGTGTGTGTGTGTGTGTGGGAAAGAGTTCTTCAACGCCCAGTTGCCTTTGTAGTGCGCAAGGGGATGATAGTGCTTGAGACGAAACCGTTTTCCACAACCTGAAAGAGTTGTTGGCGCGTCAAAGAATCTTTAAAGAACAGATTTTTAAAGTGTACACTTTAAAAAAGCATCTGTTCTTGAAAGGTCCTTCGACGCCCCAAGAACTTTTTCAGCCCGTAAAGACGGCTTAAAAATGCACGGGCTTGTCTGCCTTGCTTGCAATCGTCTATAAAGCGCGGTTTTTTCCCAAAAATTTCCGTCAGCACGGTTTTTTTTTTCTTCACATAAAAAACCTTAACTGTGAAAATTTGCGACGTGGGTCATATGTTTTGTTAGATTCGTTGACGAGAATGAATGTTGAAACTGTCTCGCTTTTGTGCACATATCGCGACCACATCACACGTATGGGGGTTTATCAATCAGCTGTGCTGTTCGTCCTTAAAAAATCAAGTACGGCATATATACCAAGTTTGTCTTAATGCGAAAGAATTACATGCCCCATCACGCGAAAATTCGGCGTCGTTGGCATTGCATTATTGTAGCCATCACACCAGGAAAAATTTACCTCCCAGCTGCAGCAAGAACTCAGTCGCATAAACGGGGCCAGATGCATCTTTATTGAGAAAGGAAAACAATGGATTACCTGTTGGAACCGGTAGCGATGTAAGTGGGACCTATATACCAACTTTGTTTTATTGCGAAAGCATTACATGCCCCATCACGCGAAAATCTGGCGTCCTTGCCATTGCATTGTTGTAATGATCACACCAGGAATAATTTACCTTTCAGCTGCAGCAAGAGCTCAATCTCATAGAGTGGGCCAGTGACAATTTTATTGGAGAAAGGAAAACAATAGGTGACCTGCTTGAACCGATAGCGATGCACCACCTTTTTTTTTTGTGCATTCAAGCACTGAAGGAATTTGATAGAACTTGCACAGGGTGACAAGCTCAGGGGTTCGAATTTGTTTTTTGTGCTTAAAAGAGGCCAAGTGCAGAAATACCTGTTTAGCATTTTTTACTGTATTTATTACTTTAGCTTTAGCTGGTCATAGTCACGTGTTTAGGCCGAATGAAGTTAACGTTATTTAGCAACATTATATTGTTTTGGAGTCGGATGGATATATTTTAAAAAGGGAGCTGAAAGTCTTATTTTGAGCACGACGGTATGAATTGAATCAAGAGCTATGATGACACATTTCATAATTATTTAAAAAGGAAGAGTTACAAGGAAGATACCTTTCATTTGTAATCAGGCGAGAAGTTCTCGATAAGCATCAGAATGTCAGCCCATGCTTCGCTAAAAGGAGGCCTCTTTAGGGCCCGTAAAAAAGCCTTGAGAAAGCGAAACCACTCGAGTAAACATGGACTTTGGCTGGGGTGCGCACTGAATTGTCAAAACGTAATAGCGTATGTTAGGGCAATTTTATGTTGTGTGTGTTTTTATTGTGCCTATTACGTTCCAAATTTACAAGGGTTGTAGAGCGGCATTTACAACAACTTCTATAACCTGATTGACACATTTTACTTCTTGGTTCGCTTTGTTCCCATTCACATTGATCCACAATGTGTGCGATTTTGTAATTTAAGGAGTGAGTGAAGTTTTTATTTTTTTATTTTGTTTTCCTTTCGAGGGTTAAGTCAACATGCTCTTTTATTTTCCTACTGCCCAACAAGTAACACTCAGCATTTTATATTGTGGGCACGTTAAGCCAGAGCTTTCAGGACTTCTTTTCCCCGCAGCACGGCAGTTTGATTGACAGTACCTAGACCCATCTCAGCCAACAACTTCAATCCAAAGAACAAATGAGAAAAGGTCTGGTTCTTTAGCAGTGATAATTGTGGTTTTGAGATGAATAGTATATTTGCTATTAATTAACACATTTTCCTATAGCAGAAAATATAGAAAACAATGTGTTTATTTCAAACTGAAAACCTCTTGAATAGTTGTGGGTACTAGTCACCGAAAAAATGCACTTTGTTTATAAGCATTTTCTGGTGGTATTTCTATCGTTTAGGCACTTGTAATGAAGAAGCCATGTGTTTTTTCCAGAATCCAGCTCCACCCCAACAGGCTGTTTTTTTTATGTAACCACGGCAGGACGAAACAGTTTCGACATTCCTTTATTCGAAATTCTTATGGACAGATTAGTCCTGGCATAAGGTATTCGCTACATCACAGGTGCATCTCCCGTCTCTTGTTCGACTACTATTTGATGGCATCTCATTCTGCAAAGGCTCAGAGAAGACATCGCTCTTCAATAATACAAATTATTTTAAAGTAGAGAGCCGCCCGTGAAGGTGCTTTAGATGCTTAACGTTTAGGTTAGCTTTATTGCGTCTGCAGGGGCTTCACGGTGGTTTACTGGAAAGTCCGGCTTTTCTTTTTATTATTTTCATTTATAAGTGCACTGACAAGTGGCTATTTGCTAAGAAGTTTTCCTGCTGTGAGCATTATACAAAAACGGTAACATTTTAGCAATGTTGTTTGAGTAGGTAGTTCAATATTTAGTTGTTGCCACGCACTGACGTCAAAGAATGGGGTGGCTCACAAAGAACTTACGTATAGGAAAAGGAGCTTGAGAGAACTCCTCAAGGTCTTTTTATGAAGAAGTTTTTTTTAAAAATCGTAGAACTCATAAGGGTTCTTCATAGTAAACTGATTCAGTGCAATATGAGCAAATAAGAACTTCTGAAAGGTGCTTGAAGAACCGTTTACTAAAAAAGTGTTTAAATACTCTTGTATGGTTTTCTATAAAGAACTGTTTTATCAAAAAGTTCAAAAGGAACTCTTCAAAGGTTTTCACAGAGACCTTTTGCATCAATAAAGGAGCTCGAAAAAGCCCGTATCGGTCTTTCACAAAGGTACTTCTTAAAGGGTACCGAAAATAACATTTTTAGGGTTCAAAACATGGACAAGCCGATGAACCCTTAAGATTTCTTTTATGGCCCGATCTATTATAGAGTGTATAGCACTATCGGTACGAATCAGACGTCAACGTTTGAGAACAAACACTTATCTCATGTAAAAATTGTGATTTTTTTTTACTTTAATTTTAAGTGAAAAAAATGGTGGCAGACGGGGCTCTCGAGTATATCGAGCTGAGTGACGGCTGTTACAAAAACCGAGTGAAAAAGGGTCCCAATTTCCATTCCAATTTTCCCCCAAAAAGAACATAACTTTTCAATTTGATAACGGTTTGTCCTTAAGCCTTGGCATCTGGTTCGGACCGCCCGTGCTACATTTCGTCGGATAATGAGCGCGAGGCGATGCGTAACTTTGTTCGACATTATTAAAAAGCAGCGCAAAAAGGACGTGATAGACCAGGACGCCAAAATTAGAAGGAAGTAGAAAACAATCTCGTACCATAACGCACTAGCCCAGCAATCGATCATTTTACGCAATATGGTAAAACACAACAGCAACGCTGAAATTTTATTTTGGATCGACAGGCTATATATATTAATTATAGTATAAATCTGTGTTAACGCTTCAGGCGATTAACTGACTGTATCTTTTATAATAAAATTATTAGCCACTACATAAACTGCTGCTAAAAACACATGAATTAGTTTACTGTCCAACGCCAGAAAACTGTAGTCACCTAGATCTTACGAGACTCAGGGTGTGGCGAGTCACGCGTGCATCTCATTATAGTTCCATGGCCAATCAGATTTCGGCATGAGCCGATCACAACGCCCAGGAACCAATCCCTAAGCAAGAGGCGGGAACGTCATAAGCCACGCCCCGCCCTTGTCAAGCTGTAAGAGTCTATATCCATACTCCATTCAGCCTCAAGCTGACAAGGCTGTGATAGCTACACGCTTGGCGGACCAATCAACGGCCTCCCTTTCATCAGCTGATCCCGCTCTCCGCGTGTGGTTATTGGCGGGAGCAAGATTGCGTGGTTAAAGATAGACGTACGACTGATTCACCAAACGCGTAGCGTCCACCGCACTGTCAGCTTAGGGGTGAACGAAATATTGACGATAGATTGCGCTTTTTGTTTTTAGAGCGCAGCTCTTAGGCGCCCGTTTCCGGCTTGAGCGGCGTCGCCGTTGGCGTCGCCGTCGGCGTAACCAAGGTCATCCCAAGGTCACGTGACCCCCAGGTCACCCCAAGGTCACGTGACCTCTCCAGGTTACGTGACCCCCAAGGTCACCTCAAGGTCACGTGACCCCCAAGGTGACCCCCAAGGTCACGTGACCCCCGAGGTCGCGTGGTCCCCTTCCCAAGGTCACGTGACCCCTCCCAAGGTCACCTCAAGGTCACGCGACCCCCAAGATGACCCCCCACGTGACACCCCAAGGTCACGTGACCCCCAGGTCACGCCTCCCCGAGGTCACGTGACCCCCCTCCCCGAAGTCCCGTGACACCTCCCCCCCCCCCCCCGAGGTCACGTGACCCCCCCCCCGGAGCATATTAAAGAATGAGGGGAGGAGAAGGAGAAGGAGGAGGGGTCTACCCTCCCCTCAGTATCTTTCACTCCTCCTCCTCAAGAGCTGCGCTCCAATTCGGCGTTACAGGGAGTTTTAAATGGCTTTCACTTTTTAGAGCGCAGCTCTTAGGGGCCCGTTCCCGGCTTGAGCGGCGTCGGCGTCGCCGTCGGCGTCGGCGTAACCAAGGTCACCCCAAGGTCACGCGACCCCCCAAGGCCATCCCAAGGTCACCCCAAGGTCACGTGACACCCGAAGTCACGTGTCCCCCAGGTCACGTGACCCCCCCCCCCCCCGAAGTCACGTGACCCCCCCCGGCCGAGGTCACGTGACCTCCCCGATGACGTCATCGTCACTGATGACGTCACCGGCATCCGCATCGCCATCGTCATCATCACTGATGACGTCATCAGTGGCGTCACTGATGACCTCACCGGCATCTGCATCGTCATCGTCATCATCACTGATGACGTCATCAGTTACGTCCTGATAACGTCACCGGCATCCGCATCGTCATCGTCATCATCACGGATTACGTCATCAGTGACGTCACTGATGACGTCATCTACATCCGCATCGTCATCATCGCTGATGACGTCATCGGAGTCCGCATCGTCATTGTCACTGATGACGTCATCAGTGACGTCACTGATGACCTCACCGGCATCCGCATCGTCATCGCCATCATCACTGATGACATCATCAGCATCGTTACGTGACCCCCCAAGGTCACGTGACCCCCCCAGGTCACTTCACCCCCCAGTACCCTTCCCTCCTCCTCCTCAAGAGCTGCGCTCTAACTCGGTGTTACAGGGAGTTGTAAACGGCTTTCACTTTTTTTAAACCACATCCGGACGCCGAGGGCAAAGGGTGTTGCGGAATCGGCAAATCTTTAGTTGAAGCATGCGCCCGATTGCAAGGTCTGAGCCCCAGTTTGTCTTAAACACTAGCCACGTAGGTATTTGTGAAAAGATAACTTTGTTTGGCTGTTAACTGTAGTCCCTGCTCTTCGGGTTTCCTCGAAACGAACCACTTCTTTTATTAGTGCGCAAATTTCTGTAGCTCTTAGATTTCCTTTTTGTTTCCTTGTAAATTCTGGAGAGTTCAAAGAATAACTTTTACTCTAAATAGAAGGGCTCGTGGCATAGACTGTAGACCCACGGTTGCGTGTTTTCGCTTTCCTGAAACGACCAGGTGACTACCGATAAACCTTTTTTTAAACATGGGCATTTACACCATAGTCTATATGCCAAGTGTCTCGGGTTCATTCGGGTGCGGGGCCAAGTGGCCCACGCCCTAAACGTTGAGGGACAAGCCGTTGGGGGGGAGGGGGGGGGAGGGGGGTCTGAGGGGGATTATGTTTTAGGACAAGATAACAATAAACAGCAGTGGTTTTCTCCTAACAAATTATCCGAGTCTCTTAGTGTCAGATTTGAGATTTTCTAGAAAAGGGACTTCGTGATCTTTGCTTTTCGTAATCTTGTAACCTTAGCTTTAATTTCTTAATGCTACTACTTTCTTAAGCCGATAATTATCTGATAACATAATTTAAAATTACACCGCACCCCTAACTTCTTTCATTTTTCAATAAAACAAATGCGGAATCACGCTTTCATTTCCACGTCGCTCAATGTTCTATGGAATTGGTATGTTCAACATTTCTTGGAAAAAGAAAACAACAAGAAAACTGCACACGACGGTTGCTGTTTACCTGACCATTTTTATAGCAGCATTATAAGGCAATTTTTTGTGTTTCATTGTTACTCTTCGACTCCTAGAAACCCAAGCTCAAGCTTTTCTTTGCTCCTACTCAGCAAGAGTTCGTGCAGCCGAGGTGCGTCCTAAAGAGGTCGCGCTTGCAGCATACAGAGTAGTGTGATTGTCGCGCGGGTGACCAACGTGAGAAATAGCTCAGAAGCAAAAACTAATGCAAAACAATACTGAGCCGAAACAAAAATGTAAGAGAGAAAAATATGCAAACATGTTATAAGTGCTGAGCTACGTTTTTAGTGTAAATGAACTAAAGACAGAAGACCATTATCTATGACTCATATGCTCTCGAGACATGGGAACTGTGGCTCACAGACGCTTGATGCTCGGGGCCGCGTCCCAGCGAGGCGCGGGCCGCTTGTTTTTGAGACCCCTGCTATATGCGGTTCTATAAACGAGGATTGCTGAATTTGAAGTGAGGGAACATGCCTCGCAGCGTGTAGACATCATTGTGTAGGCCTACGCCGATTACGGTACACTGCATAAAGGATTTAGGCAACTGGCGAACGGATCGAGCCACGGGGGACACAATAAAATTCCTACTCGTAACTCTTGCCAAACTAGGCGAGAATGAGTCGCTCACGTGTACGTCGACAGACCCGGAAACTTTCTCCAATGAACCGAGGATGGCTTTGAGGAGAGCCGACTTCCCGCAGCCCACGGGACCCACGACTGCCACCAGGCTGCCTTTCTTCACACTAAAGGTCAGGTCCCGGAGGACCTCGGGTTCCTCTCTCGCCCAGGTGAAGCTGGCCTGCCTCAGGCTGACCGCATCGCCTGAAGAGGGGCAAACAAATTTAGAAAGACTCTATTTACGTCTTGGGAAAGGAACCCAGGGCAAAGCGTACACTGAGTAGACCTCAGGGAAGGGCTCAAATACCTTTCTCTGGATTTGTGCCAATTGCCTCTTCGTCCAGCTCTCCCTCTTCCAGAAACGCAGACAGTCTCCTGAGAGAGACCTTACACTGCGGGGACACTTATATTGAATCAGTACTAGTCCTAAATGGGTGGTGCAATGATATCCAGTTGGAATGTTTTTCACTTTATACAAACTTACTGGAACTCATGGGACCTAAATATACTCGCATTCAACGCCATTGAACAAGAAACCTCTTTGGTGCGGTGTAATTTCAAGAATAAAAGCGAGCGCTTTCTTTCAGTCTCTCCATAGCAACGACGTAGTTTAGAGGTCGCAGTGTCCCCTAGTGACGATATTTGAATGCGGCTCATAGATTAAACCTTAGCATTTCGAGAGCACTTGATATGACCACGCGATAATCAATAGCTTCACAAGTATTCGGGTGGTAACCCGTGTACTATCGCTTCAATGACTGACGACAATATATCCCTACCAAGTTCTGGAACTGAGCGCGTGTACTGTGCTTTGCCAGCTCCGGCGCGTTGCGATAATAAAAATCAGCGGCACATAAGTGGCTCCAGATCACGTGGTCGCTTCTCCTGGCTGCGGGTTGAAGGAGAGAACGCTGCTCGTTTTTCTTTTATTTATGTTTGCGGCAACTATTTCCCCAGGAAAAAAACTAACCGCGTTTTATGGGTTATGAACGTCAGATATTCGTTCTATGTGTTTTTTACGCAAAGTACAAAAACCGCCTCCCCTTTAAGCTTACTCAAACTGATTGACGCCATTACACATTATTTTACACTGGATTTGAGACAATCGCCTTTTCGTCCAGCTCTGCTTTTTCGGGTAACAGAGACGGTCTCTTGACAGAGAATACATACTGCATTGACATTCACATTGCATCGGTTCCAACGTTAAGCTCACTCCTAACTCATTAACGCCTTTCAATATTTTTTTTTGGTTCTGGTTTTGTGACATTTAATTGCATTTTCGTCCAGTTCTGCTTTTTTCCGAAAACACAGTCTCTTGAGAGCGACCACATGCTGCAGGGACATTTATATTGGATAAATTCTAATCTTAAGCTAACTCAAACTGATTGACGATTTTTAATATTTTTTCACTGGATTTGTGACAATGACATTTCCGTCCAGCTGTTATTTCTTGGGAAACACAGACAGTCTTTTGAGAGAGGGCATTATACTGCAGCATTTATATTGGATGAATTCTAAGCATAAGCTCACTCAAAGCGATTGATGCCTTTCAATATTTTTTTTCTTTAGGATTTGTGACAATCGCATTTTCTTCCAGCTCTGGTTTTTCTGGGAACAAAGACTGTTTCTTGAGAAAGATCATATACTAGCGGGATATTTTCACTGGATCAGTTTCAATCTTAAGCTGACTCAAACTGAGGGAGGCCTTTAAATGTTTCTTTTTTGTAGTTGTGACACGCAAGTCTTCGTTTAGCTATGTTTTTTGTTTTTTTCTGGGAACGCCGACTATCTCTTTAGAGGGACCACATACTGCAGGGAAATATACATTGGATCAATTTTCATCTTAGGCTAACTCAAACTGATTGACGCCTTTAAATATATTGTTTTCTGGAGTTGTGCCAATCGCTTCTTCGTCCAGCTGTGCTTTCTTGGGAGCACAGACAGCCTCTTGAGAGGGACCATAATATGAGGGCTGTCGTATTGGTTCAAACCAAATCTCAATCTTATGTAAGCTGATTAAAGCCTCTAAATATCTTTGTTTTTACTAATGCAAGTTATTCAAACGACCTTCAACAGAAAATATTTTTCTATGACCTTAGCCATATCTTTACGCGATTCGGATGCTAGTTTGGTAGATGTCTCGTTCGGGATGGGGCATTACCCGTTCATTTTTACATGTCAGTGACGAATTACTTTGTGAACATTATTCAATTAAAATGTCTGCCAAATGTTCAAAAGAGTAAACAAATATATTGAAAAACATAGTACAAATTTTATAAATCTGTTTTTTTATAAACAATTACGCTTCAATGAACGGCTTGAATCTTGTAATGAGAAAATATACTTCATCTTACCCTTATCAGTCTGGAAATTGCATCAGGCAAAGTGTACATTGGGCCGCGCAGTAGCATAAAGAGGGAGAGGCAGGTGAAGGCGATGGACGGAGTGAGATGATTGTCTTCGCTCAGCATCACAAAAATGCCGAATGATGCCAGCGCAGCCTACAAATAAAACAACAGAATATTAACCAGAGCTACGTCAGATTTCGTTACCGACTCTAGGGCTAAGAAATGTAGCCCCAGTGTTGGTTTTACTAAAATCGAGAGAAATCCCGAAAAACCCCGAATTCAAGCAGCCATTGAATAAAGAAGATTCAAGCTTCACGAGGAAAACGTTTTACACACAACTTTATTTTTAATTTACCGGGAACATACTGAACTGTGTCCACAAGGCTAATTTTTACTTCTGGTACCGCACACCTTATGATCCGATAAACACCGATGTTCTGCCCGGCAACTAAAAGCGACACCGCGAAAGAAATCTGTGGGAAGAATGAACGCCGAAAACATGAAGTCCTACTTATATTATAATTGGAATTGATTTTGCTGGTCATCAAAAGGACCTTTCGGAGGCAGAACACAAGTTAATGTTTGTGTACGCACCGCATTAGGTGTCGCAGCCCAGACAAATGTGAATGTGGACTGCAGGAGAGAGTATTTCTTCACGAAAGACAGTTCTTCGGAACGCGTTCGCTTCACCCTCTCCATGAAGGGGGGCTCCCACGCGTTCAGCTTGATCACCTGAAGAAAGAGAAAGATATGTGCGGACACTGCTTATATATAAATAACACGCGTAGAAACAGTCGAGCTGGATGAACGTCCAGCATTTCGAAAAGCCGAGAGGCTGGAAGGGAAAAAGATACATTTAAAATAAAATGCCCGAAGCACTGCAACGTTAAGAACCATAGGGCGTCGATTATCACGTTCACAATTTTTGCACACCGTGATGTTTTCCTCGGCGCTCTTATCATCTAATGCTCTACGTTTATTGGTTTAGGAACCGAGTATGAGATTCTTGGTGCTTGCCACACCATGGCTATTGACTATATACGCACCGTACAGAAAAAAAACAAAAAAACTCTGACTTTGCTTTTGATACGCGAAACAGCCAATCACGACAAACAATAAAGGTTCCGAGCTTTATTAGCGAAACTGGGAATAATACCGAAGGTCTGACAATAAGCGAGGCGCCTATAGGAGCAATGAGCAAGTTTAACGTCATGCGCGATGTCCCTGTACACTTAACATTTTTGTTTTCGTTTCACTCCCACCGTATTTTGAGTTGCGTTATTCGCTGGGATACTGCTCGCCGTAATTGGCTCTCTCTGTTTTGCAAGAAAGCGAACATTCTGAGGATGACCTCTCCCAGAAGGTTCGCAAAGCCAAATCACTGGGATTAACAGGAAAATGGCAGCTTGGGTATGGCGATGTCCAGAAAACGCTTCAATTTATTGCAAATGAGAGCTTCAAAAAAGACAGGGCGCAGCTCATCAAGTTCGCGGGGTTTGTGCTTCGTTATTAGGCGTTCTTATCCGCTAATGTAAGAATCTGGTTGGCTGCGGAGCAATATTAAAATGCTCGGGACTGGCCAAGTCCCGCATTTCTCAAGCTGTCACTGACGATAGGAATACGAACTAACATAACGTATGATCATGTGATCATGTGAATTGCGATGCTTTGGGACACATATCAGACTATCCCTGGGCGAAAGTGTTCTTTCTGCATGGACGCCGTTCGCCAATGTCGGCAAATGTTCCACTTTTATTATTCTCGTCTCGAGTGATCAAAAGATGTAAGTCGCTGAGAAACAAAATACCTTTATTCCGTTGAGCATTTCAGTTGTCTGACGAAGCCGTGCATCCTTCGAGTCCATTTGCCGTTTCTAAAATACAAACAACAAAAACAACGTGTGTTTTTTTTTAACCAGCACTTAACTTGGTACCGTCTGCGGCGCGGAGACGAATGTCGGGAACGCCAGGTGCAGTGTGCTCAACTGTTAAACATAACGCGGGAGCGGTGGCCGAAAGTGATAGCAGAGCTGTCTAGCGATTAAATCAATGATGCGGCAGACAACAAGCCGGCTCTTCTTGGGATTGTCGCCATTTCCCGATACAATTATCGCACGACCTCCTCGTTCTTTTCTTTATCACCCACGCTTTAAATTTTTACTTGTTTTTTTTTTAGTCACATCTACGCATTTACCATGCCGGGCTACCAATTTCGGTGATCTTGCAGTTTCTCTAATAAAGGTCACCTTCATTAAACAATAACAACAAGAAAAAAATCAAAATCGATTTTTTTTATCGCCGAGTCACGCATCGGTGATTGTTTCGGAGCCGGGAGTGTAACTCCAGAAAACAACAGCGGCATAAGCTTCCAGAGTGAGCCGGTAGATGGCGCACGCAGTCTCTCCGGCCACCGCTCCCGCGTTATGTTTAACAGTTAAGTACACTGTACTACCGGTTCTATAGTCACTGTCGGAGTGAAAACTGCACGAAGACGTTTCAGTTGTCCCGCCTCTAGCGCAAGCTTTCTGACTTCGATAACGCATCGGCGACAAGTGAACGTCGAGCGCGCACGAGCAATTAAAGCATGCCGGTAGGCTATGAGAGCATGCTGGAGGCCGAGAGTCTGAGAGAGTCGCCCTGCTGTTGTCACCTTTTCAGTGACCATAGCAAACAAAAGCGACCTTGCAGGCGACGGCGAGCGGGCCAGGGCAGGCGAGCAACTCCGGTACCCTCTCGCTATATTCAGTGCAGTTTTGTTCATGTTACACAAAACCAGCGATTGATTACAATTACAATCACTCTTTGTTAAAGGAATATTTATCTGTATTACCTGATTACTTGAGAAGAAAAGTAATTGGTCGTTACTTGAGAAAGTAGCAGTATCTTCCCGATTGATTCAGATTTTCAGCCGGTTTGAAGACTGGTCTTTCGTACTGTTCAATATTAGAGTAAAATCACCAAATTATAGCTACTTATATTCTTAATTCACTAATTTTTTGTAAACCATATTCCTCCAGGAGACATGGTTCGAGTAGTTCTTGGTTGGAAACTTGTAGGAACAAAGGGGGCTATGAGAAAGAGGGGGGAAATAAGTAGCGGTTACAAGTAATTTTTGTACCTCTAAGAGAAATCAAGTTACACTTGGAATTTATTTCGAATAAATGCATTCAAAAGATTCAAAAATTACTTAAAAAATGCATCGATTACCATTAATTTAGTTTCTTGTAATGAGTACCGTACAAGTCTGCATTTTAACGTGGTAGATGCCACGGTGGTTAGGAGGTCCGCACAGTATTTCGCGCGAGGCGTTTGGAGGGTTGTTCCGAAAAGGTATATTCGAAAAGAAGCTATCGAATTCTGTGCAGGCCCTTTCACACACTTACAACTGGTCACGACCGAATCCGTTACGACCTCTTGTTATCTCTTACGACGAGAGAACACAATGGCGCCCTCTCTTAAGTAGCCGTGGAAACCTTGCGATATTTTCGTAAACTTTTTTTAGCGCAACATTATTTTACTATTGGCTCGGAAAACCTTTGACAATAAAATAAACGACAATTTTCACACTGATAGTACGTACATTTGATCTCCCCATTACTGCGAAAAATTTTCCTCTAGTGCAAGGCAGTTTCCATAGACACCTCATAGATGGCGCCAGCGTGTCAGTGTGTTCTCTCAGTGTAAGGTATCGCAAATGTTCGTAATGCACTCCTCCATAAGAAGTGGCAAGTGTGTGAACCAGCAGTAAGGTGGGAGGATGGGCGACTCCCCCGTGCAAGATCAGAAAAATAAAAACAGCGCAAAAATGAATGCAAGGACAAGTAGAATACATAGGAAACAAACAAAAACATAGAAAACGATAGTCGTTCTAGTCAGGGCTGTGTTTGTCTGTGTATTCTACTTGTTTCTTGTGTTCAGTTTTGCGCTGTGTTTATTTCTTTGCTATTTCTGCGCGAACCAGCCTTGAGTATGTGAAACTAATGTGAAAACCTAATGTCTGCAGGCCCGAGTGAAATAGGCCTGGGAAGGAAGTGTTAATGGGGCCTGTTTAGTACCTGGTACTTGTCACAAAAGTGGGCAACCAACGTCGTCGTTAGACTGCTGGCAAGCATGGTGGCTACCGTAGCCAGGCATGACGCACCAAGGTATTGCCATAAAAACACCAGAGTCAAGACTATCCGGAGTGGCACATCCCAGCAGTTGTGACAGATCAATAAAAACTGTCCCACTTGCTCAACATCGACGGACATCAAGTTCACAATCTCTCCGGACGTGTACTGGTGGCGGGAACTGCTCGAGATGCGGAGGACCTGCGCCAAGAAAGCAGGAAAAGGGTGCCAGAAGATCTGTGTACATATAACGGTCGGATATTAAATAGCTAGGCTGCAATGGAAACTTCAGTCTTAAGTAACACTCTTGAGGCCGTATATAAGCTTGTTCTGGCGCTGACATCTTTAGGGTGTTGCAGTAAACCCGTAGGGGTGTGATGCACTTAGAATATTAGGTAACTTCTTAAGTATGTTTATTAGCACCCTGAGGGTGTTACAAAATACCATTTGGACGCTACCATAACACGCTAAGTGCATTACAGCGAGCACTCCGAGACTTTTTTACCCAGCTGAGAAGGGTTAGGGAAGGCACAACATTTAGAGTCCTGGCAAACAAATTGAAAAATTGAAAAGGGAGATATGGCACTATTAGCAGCATCATAGAGCTATTTTTTTTTACTAGCAGCAAGTCTACAAGCAACACGTACCGTATTTAGTTGCACACAAAACCCTGATCGCTGAATAACTAAAAAAAAAAAGTTATTCATTCGCAGGTGACCATCCCTGAATTTACAAAAGCTCTAAGAATATTGCGTGGCTGAAGTTTCTATTTCACATAAAGCGAAATATCCCGAAGGTCGAGAAATATGTTTCAAAGTTAAAAACATTTGTATCTGCAATACTTATTCAATATTGTCGCTAAAATAACCGCTTCTAAGGCTATTTCAAGCGAGTGAAATGTCACCTGCACCCTTTTTTATAGCAACATTTCTCCACATCTTTTCTACATCCTCCAAAAATTAAAAGCATACAATAAAATATCACCCATGTTTTGCAATTAAAAAAGGTGTATTGCTCAACATAACGGTACTGAAACGGTCTAGGCATGCGTGAAAGTCTCTAGAAATTGCTTTTTTACATTCTTAAGAGTGTAAAAAGTATATTTACTGCCTTGAAAAACATATGCAAAGGAAATGCATTTTTTTTAAACTGCACATATATAAAAAAGCACCTCATAAAACAAATTTACAACGAAAGAAGAAAGGTGTTTAGAGCTATATTTAAGGTATGAAACGAATTTGTAGCCTGCGCCTGCGGGAGCCCGGGGAAAAATGGTTGCAAGAGCTGTAGAAGAGTGGTGAGTTGGGCTATTTGGTAAGCATTATACATGGTAAGAGTACGCAAGCACAGTGAGGAAACATCACAAAAAAGCAAGAGACGGGATAGACCAGGGTGTAAGATAGACAGGTGGGGAAACGGCCCATAGGAACCTACCGCAGCGCCGTGACCCGATTGTGTACTCGTCTGCTTGCGGGTGGCTTGCGGGTACCCCCGATTTGCGACAGATGGCGCTGCGGCGAGAAGAAAAAAATCGGAATCGAATTTGCATGGAACTCAATGGGGAGTGCGCAAAATAAACCGAGAGCACGACAGTCACGAGAAACCTTCTCCGTCAGTTTAACCGGTCGCCAGCGTTCGCCCACCTGAAGTGAGAGTTCGCGGTGCTCCACATAGATGGCGCCACAGAAAAAGAGAAAACCGAGGGGGACACAATCCGGTCGCTCATTTGGCTCTCGTTTCACCACCTGTCTATCTTACACCCTGGGATAGACGCTGATCAGCGTCTATCCTGTCTTTTATATTCTTCTAGCTTCCTCGCGTTGCTCGCTGACTTTAACCATGTATATAACTGCAAGAGTCGCGTGGTTCTTGCGCACATTCGGGAGCTTCCTATGGGCTCTAAAAGTTTGTTATTAATCTTTGTTTTAAGTGCAACAATAAAACGAAGATTAATAAGTAACTTTTTCATGAAAGCTCCCGAAAGAGCGCAAGGACCATGTGATAGACCTGTGCTCCGGTCAGAAATTGACGGCGGCGGCTCGCGGCGGTGTGTTTCCTTCCGGCGGCAGTGTGGCAAAACGCGTTCAGCCGGCTGAGCGCCACGCTCAGCGTGAGGCGGCGGCGGTGGCGTGGATGTTCTGGGATTTCGGCGGCGCCGAACGGATCCGGCGACTTGCGGCCGCGGCGACGCTGCGAGGCGGCGCACGGGTCTACCGCGTGACTAGTGGCGGATCCCGCGGACGCCAACTACCAATTCCTTTTGACCAGTAAATATAGCTCTCAATTTTTTTTTTCGTTTTGAAGTTTTATTTTACGACGGTCTTTTTCAATCCAGGCTGCTTAAATTGCTTTTCCTTTGCACATGTCCTTTAAAGGTGAATATTTCTTAGTGTTTGGTGTCGGAGATTTTTTGAACGGAATGGGTATGAGTTTTTGCTTGGCAAGGCTCGAACACGACTCCACTACCTTTTGCGGTGCTTTGATCGCCCATGTAATCTAGACAACTTTCAGGTGCTAAATCAACACAAAAAGTAGAAAGCTTTAGTTAAGGTCAGTGCAACTGGATGCTCCTTCTGGCACTTTAGTTTACTCTAAGGAAAGAAAAACGTCGATTAGTTTTCGTCCAAACAATGTGACTTGACCGAATTATTTTAAAAATGAAAGTAATCGATTTGTATTTGTTTGTTTGCAGGACATATAGTGTGTTGTGCATCAACTACTTAGCAAATCTGAATTGTTAATAAACAGCCCTCTTCTGCTGTTTAGTAGGTATAAACACCTCGTCTTAAGTTTCTTTTTTCGAAACTTGTGCCTCGATAAATTAATACATACGCTAAGGTTTTTAATTGTGTTTTGTAGCTCTTTTCAGTCTGCATTGTGGGAGCCATTATGTAGTTGGAATCCTGCTGAAACAACATAACATTAGAGTGGGCATGGGAGCGGCAACACGACGACAGTATCTCACGCTCTGCGTGTTTTCATCGTTCAGGTTTGGCCGTGTCAGCTGCGAACTCTTTTTGGTTTGGTTCCTGAAGTTTGTACCCTATCGACGTTTTCTGCTTAGGCATCACGGAATCATCGCGGAAGTGACTGTTATTTATTCGCCTCGTAAAATGACCTTCCATTCCACGCCTCCCGGCGATTCGCCAGGGCAACGTCATCGACAGCGCCATCAACGGTCATCAACTCGTACTTCAACGGCTGGAACGACGCTTGCTCTTCTAGTGGGCGTGGGAACGGCAACATGATAACTGTGCCTCACACTCTGCGTTTTTTCATCGTTCGGGTTGGTAAGAAGCCCCCCCCCTTTGCACGCGAAAAAAACTAGCGTCCTATTTTTGCTTCTGTTCCCATGCCCACCTGTGCTGCTGTTTACAATTCGCGATTGTTGCGATGTTGTTACATCACTACTGCTGCTTTCTAGTGATCTAGAAACCGACACGAGCCCCCGGACGGACCTCGCTCTTCGGCTTGATTCGAACGCTTCGTGAGAACCTTCTTTGGCATAAATGATGCCTGCTTCAAAGTTTAAAAAGCCGTTCGCAAAGATTTGGAAACAGGTCAGGCTGGTTTGATTAAATGTGTGGACGAGGTTTTCCTCTCTCTAGCAGAAGTGCATTGTTGGCCTTTGCTTTGCTTTTTATGTTTTTGCATGGTTGTTGTTCTTGTCCACCCCCTCTGTAATGCCCTCTGGGCTCTGGGGGTATTGAAATAAATAAATAAAAACGAAACCAAAAGTCAATGGAAAGTCGAATAGCTGGCATAGGAGCTCGACTGTCAACGGTCGAATCACAAACAATCGTCCTTGACGCTGTTTCACAAGAATTTGCAGTCATGCCACAAACCGTATAATTTGTACAAAAATAAAACACTACACTGCGTGCACAACTCAAGGACTTTGAATAAAGATTGCGTCATGACAATTCTACTTTTCATACCGTTTCTGATTTGCTGTTTCAGTCGTGTTCTTAAACAAAAGAAACTCTTTATCAGCATGTACCTCCTTTCAGCTAACCCCGGAAATCCTTGAACGAGCGCACCGCTTAGCAGTTTTTCTAGCCAACAAATGCCGACCGATCATTGTTAAGTATTCATCTTTTAGGTTTTTAAAGTAAGAGAGAAAGTGCTCGCATTACACCCTAGCCTAAAATCATCGAGTGTTTCGGTCTGGGAAGACTTTCGTCCAGAGGCGCGTCTTATCAGTAGAGACATAACTGAATTTGGTAAAAAGCAATCTTCGGCTCTTCAGTGAGATACAAGAAGTAGTACGTAGAGAAGAAATGTTGCATGTATGACGCTGTTTCGGATAGTGTTTCTAAGACTCCTTTGACCAATAACACCTTCGATGCCCCAACCGTTAATATCCCCACCACGAATGAATCGGGTGGAAACACGTATTCATCACAGGAAACTACCGCATTTACCCGAGTAATAGCCGCACTGTTTACGAAGAAAACCTGAGGGTTCGCTTTTCCGCGGAGCAGGCAGATTTCCAATCACCGCGATTGACAGCATGATTACAGCTGCTTACAGAACAGAGATAACGTCCTCGTGTGAAGATACAATCTGTGAAGATTGCATTTGTATGGACAATCGTGATCTCGATCTGGTTATTCACTATGTTATTTAGGCGCAACGCAATAATTGGCTGTATATTTGTTCTGTGGAAAAGTAGACGCAAGGGGCCTTGTTGATGAATAGTGGGGCTATTACTCGAGTAAATACGGTAAAAGGCGCAGTGGCACACCAACTACGCGTGATGATTTGTCACTGCTTTTTAATAACAGTCAGAGTAATATTAATGAACAATATAAACTTAAATTTGTTATTCATTTCAGTGATGCTTTGATTTTCCTGTTAACTGAAATTTGGTTATCGGCGAAGGTTCGGAACAGCGAAATATGTTATGGTCGAAAACGTTTCAACGTCTACCGTTGTAATAGAGGGTCTTAAAATGTATGTGGTGTACTGATTGCGGTTGCTGAGACTCTTAGTTCGTTTAGTGTACATTTAGCTTGTGAGTTAGAAATTACTTGGGTGTGCGTGATAATGAATTTTAAAAGGTGCATTCTTGGTGATTGTTACTGCCCCCCCCCCCCCCCCCCCCCCCAGTGTAACACTAGTTTGGAAGGCAAGCTAGACGATGCTCTCAATGTTGTATTAACGCGATTTCCTGATTCCTCGATTTTTCTCTTTGGTTA